TTTGGTGCTGAAATGGTTTTCAGCTCCAAGGATAGCACAATTACAGATGAGGATATTGACAGAATTATTGCTAAAGGAGAAGAAGCGACAGCTGAATTGGATGCAAAGATGAAAAAATTTACGGAAGATGCAATTAAATTTAAAATGGATGACAGTATGTAACTTGTTTCTAAAGATTTTGCTCCTTTATGTTTTGGTTGCTTGTTTAATTCTTGAAACTGTTTTGTTGTACAGCTGCTGAATTGTATGATTTTGATGATGAGAAGGTAAAGCTTCTATTTCATGCTTTGGTTTATAATTGCTCTAGAATGCTTTGTTGGATTTTACCTATATTAGTGTTGCTTTAGGTGCTGTTTGTTTATTTATTCCCTACTATGGGCTCATTTCTTGCTTTTTTGTTGGTGAAGGATGAGAGCAAGTTTGATTTCAAGAAAATCGTTAGTGACAACTGGATTGAACCTCCAAAAAGAGAGCGGAAGCGCAAGTAATTGTTGCTATTTTATTTTTGTTCTAGAGTTGCATATATTTGTTTTCAATCATTATTTTTTATTTCTTCTATCCATTGATCAGTTACTCTGAATCTGAGTACTTTAAACAAACAATGCGCCAAGGTGGACCTGCAAAACCAAAAGAGCCACGAATTCCTCGGATGCCCCAATTGTAAGTGATATGGTGAAACCATTTTTTTTTAAATGAATTCCGCTGTGTTCACAAGCTGGCATTTATTTAATTTATATCTTTGCCTACTGTTTCCAGGCATGATTTTCAATTTTTCAACACTCAGAGGTTGAGTGAGTTGTATGAAAAAGAAGTACGGTACCTCATGGTAAGTATTATTTGAGTTAGTCAAGTTATCTGTGGTACTTTGTCCATCTATTCAATGCGGTTTGATCTTTGTGCATATTTTTATTTCTTCAATTTCAGCAAACACATCAGAAGAATCAGTTGAAAGACACAATTGATGTAGATGAACCTGAAGGTATGCATTCTTTTCTTTTTCATCACTTTGAATAATTTGCTTAATTATTTTGATGTTTGCTTTATACCTACTACTGACTGAGTTGTGTGTTTAGAAGGGGGAGATCCACTGACTGCAGAAGAATTGGAAGAAAAGGAACGATTATTAGAAGAAGTGAGTAGAATTTATGTTGTTGATTATGCTTACGTTATTGTCCTTTTTACTTGAACTTGTCTGCTGGTTCGTGTAGGGATTTTCTTCCTGGAGTAGAAGAGATTTCAATACTTTCATTAGGGCATGTGAGAAGTATGGACGAAATGACATAAAAAGTATTGCGTTAGAAATGGAAGGAAAAACTGAGGAAGAAGTTGAAAGATATGCTAAAGTTTTTAAAGAACGATACAAGGAGTTAAATGGTAAGTACTTCCTACATGATCTTATTTTTATGTAAAATTGAAATAATTTGATTTGAGATTTGTGGTTGAACTTCTAACTTTGTCAATCTGTGTCAATATTTTATTGATGAGGCTTGGATGTTAAATTTGACCAATTCAAGATGGGCTCAGCTTGAGTCGTGTAAGAAGCTGAATTGAGGGTTGTTCAGACCTCAGAGTCCTTCCTGGTGATCAGATTTATGTGTCCCTGCACCAGGCATATTGGTGCTGAACCCTTAAATTTTACCTTTTGCTTTAACATGGTTCCCATTTAATATATCAGAGAACTTGTTTCAGTTTTTCACTTTAGAATTCTGACTATATCTTAAATTTGAAAAAAATTCCTAAATTTTTATTGATTTAACAATTCTGGTGTTTGGTTTGCTATGAACCACTGTGCTCTCTTGTTTGAGTTCCTTCTCTGTTTCACTGGTTTAAAGAAAATAATATTTCGTAGCTGGAAAAGAACCTATTTCTGGTGGGATGTGATTTTAACTGTTATTTTTTTTATGGTGGATATGATATTAGTTCTTCATTAGAGCCATATAGCAGTTGTCTCAGAATAACTTAGTTCTATGTTATTTTGTGATAATGCTGCAGATTATGATAGGATCATTAAGAACATTGAAAGGGGAGAAGCCAGAATTTCTCGGAAAGATGAAATCATGAAAGCCATTGGGAAGAAATTAGATCGCTATAAAAATCCATGGCTGGAATTAAAGATTCAATATGGTCAGAACAAAGGAAAGTTGTACAATGAAGAATGTGACCGTTTCATGGTATGCTATCTGTTTATTGTTGATGTTATGATGGTGATTCCTAACAATGTTTATTGGACCATATTTACCAGTGACATTTATGTCCTCTATTTAAAACAACAGATATGCATGGTTCACAAGCTTGGATATGGAAACTGGGATGAGCTCAAGGCAGCATTTCGCACATCACCCTTATTTCGATTTGACTGGTTTGTGAAGTCTCGTACCACCCAAGAACTTGCTAGGAGATGTGATACCCTCATTCGGTTGGTGGAGAAGGAAAACCAAGAATATGATGAGAGGGAGAGACAGGCCCGGAAAGAGAAGAAACTTGCCAAGGTTCTGTTTATCACCTGTCTTTCATGCTTTGTTTTATTTTTGCTGTTTTTAAGTTCCTGTGAGATCTTTTATTTGCGCATTGATGCGTAAAGCTCATATATCCTATACCAGTTAAATGATACAAAAAATTGAAGGAAATAATGACTATATCTCGTGTGGTGAATCTTACAATGTTTACATTTAATATTTTAGAACATGACGCCATCAAAGCGTGCCGCCGGAAGGCAGCAGCCAAATGAGAGTCCAAGTTCCCTAAAGAAGCGGAAGCAGTTATCAATGGATGACTATGTGAACTCTGTATGTTCTGACTTCTCTTCTATGAAAGACTACTAATTAATTTCCGAATGTAAAGTCACCATATATTGAAACTTGTTATGGTCTGTTTTTGCAGGGGAAGAGGAGGAAATGATATATGATTTGATATAACACTGCTTTTTGGTGAACCTTTCATATATATTGCAGTATATGATGTATTCTGGTATAACCCTTAATTTTTGATATTTGGCATTAGGGTTCAACAGAATGTCATAATTTCAGGGTTAGTATAAGATTATGTTAGCTGGATAGTTGTATAAATGAGTATATACGGGATGACCTTGTAAGCTAAATATTTTATTCATCGGATTTAATTGAATGAAAATTATGTGTTGGCTGCAGAAGCAGAGGCAGTCATTTCCATTTTTATTAGTTACGTTTAATTTTCTTGATCGAGATCTGACTCATCTTGAAAGTGTAAAATATGCCAATATTCCATTTATCTTGAAAGTGTAAAGTATGGTTGATATCATCGTTGCAAAAACTAGTTTAATTTAAACTTTAAAGCAGTGTTCTGAAAACTGGATTGGATAGTCCGGTCGGACCGGTTCGATCGGCAACTGGTGGTATTTTCGGTTCGGTATATTGTAAAAATCAGCATTTACCATTAAATTGGATTGAGCTGTGGTTGGATCGTGGGAATATTGTCGAGTCGTGGTCCAATCGTAACTCCATCTCGTCAGATTTTGGCATCGTTTGATGGAGAAAATATCCTCATTCGATGTGACAGTATCTCTATGACCAAACCCATCCATTTTCAATGGCTATCATCCGGCCTTCGTTGCTCGTCCACCTAAAATTTACGCGACGTCGGATTTCTTTTGTTGATTCTGGCGAGTTTCGACGTCGATGGAACTTCTTGGTACCACCATCAAAGTCGTCGGCACCTATACATCAAAAGCTCTAAGATTCCAGCTTCAATTGGCCGTCGATCGTCGTTGCCGTCATCACTCATCAGAATCTTCACGCGATAGGGGTGTTATAGATAGATTTCAAATCTTAAAGGAGTATATAGGGGTGTTTTTGATGAATTTCAAACCTTCAGGGATTAAATTTTTTTTATAGAATACCGTCCAACCGATCGATCCAACCGGTCAAAGAGGACACCAGACCCTTGAACGGATCATTATCTGATTCGGTTTTCAGAACATTGCTTTAAAGACACCTTTAATGGGCTTCATGTATGTGTCTAGCGCCTTTAGCTTTTATATACTAAATTGGGTCAATTCCGTCTTCGGTTTAATAATAATAACAATATAAACATCTTATTTCAAGTTCTCGAAAGTTACGTGACGATTATCTAAAATATGAAACTTCAAAAAAGGAGGTTTATATTATTTAAATTTTTTTGTTAATTTTTATCACCGTTGGATCAATAATAATAAACGATTCACAAAAATGTCAAGAAATTGAATTATAATATTCTAACTTTAAAATAGTTTTAATTTAATTGTGACTGAAGTAAGTTTAATTTGATCTTATTTTGGTCGCTGAAATGAAAACAGAAAGCACTTGAAAAATAGAAGATGGGAAAGAAAACAATGGGGATTAAATAACATTTCCCACGTTTTATGAGCTTCATGTTTTCCAAAATCTGAGATTCATTCAGTACGTATCAAAACAAAGCAAGTGAGAAAATCATCATTTGGTTTCTACTTTCTACCGGTCAAGCTGGAATCTTGTCTACGATTATGATCCTCTCGACAACCTTATTATTATAACAATGACTACGAGAAACCATGATCTTACTATCGGATTCTAGCCCATTCATTGCCGTCTTGAGTGACCGGTGTTACAGCTTTCTCCCATGTAAGATTAATGCACCATTTTTCTTTTTCGCTTTTGTCCAAGGAAACTTTATGTGAAATCTATAATCTATAATTATAGCATTTGGAAGTAATGATCATATAATTATGATATCTACGAGTTTATCATATGTCAACATTTTAGTTACCTGTGCAATTGTCTCCATTGTTGAGTCCGTCATACACAGCTTTAATTATATTGTTTTCCATTGGTTAATAACACATTTTTAGATTGAACTAGACTCCTAAATGATCAAAGGATGACCCATTTTGAGCTTAAATGAAATTATAAGCTTTGAATCTTATGATCTGGGTCGCTTGTGCCTAAGGCTCTTATGGTTGGTGCATGTTTGCGTGTGTGAGAGGGGAGTAATTACATGAAGAAATAGTATGGAGATACAAGAACATGAAACCTTTTTTGTATAAGCCGAAAGCATATGACTGACTCAGAAATCCATACACAAAGACTGTATGAGAGGACAAGATGAAACACCAATTGAGACATCCACACCAAACCCACTAAGTTTCCCCACTTACAGACAATAATATATGGGGCAAAAATTAGACATTTTCCCACATCTCCTGTAACATCAACTTCAGAAAAAAGCTCTAAATACATAGATTAACATGTTGCATACATCATCTTGCACCAGGGTTCTCTGTAATTCTCGAAAAAATCACAGTAACCCTTTCCCCAATTCCCTCTTTTAACTGCGTCTCCTTCCTTCAACCACATAATTGAAGCATTCAGTTTCACATTCAAAACTACAAGAGTGACATAGGACAAGCAACAACAGTCAAAGTTGGATACATGCATGAACTCTCTTATTCCCTGGGTGGGAATGGAAACCAAGACGGTAAAATGATGGTGTATCTGCAAGTTTTCTTCTCTTTCTTTGTCATGACCCTGAGAAACGATATACCATTTCTTTCCTAGAAGACCAAGTGACAAGAATCAGCGTTTCTGTTGTGATTACTCATTTGTACCATCAAAGCTCCCCATTGCGTTTGCCCGCTTTTTCTCCCTCCAATTCTCACCCCATACTTTTGCCTCTGCCACAGCCCGCTCTCTATCTAAATCACGGTTCCTTGGAGTTTCCCTCACTCTCCCAGTAGTTACAGGGCTATCTCTCTGAGATTCCTGTCGCTCTAAATCATCCACACCCCATTTTCTCCCAGATCCACCACCAGTCTCATTTCTGCCCAAGTCTACACCGTTACTCAATTCCCTAACATGGTCCCGCTTCCTGTAATCAGGAGAATTTTTATGGGTGGAAGGTGAACCATGCCTCCCAACAAGTCCATGCTCATCAGGGCTATCTAGCCCATCTCCCATATTCCTTCGGTCATCCCTACTTCTAGGAGTAGATGGACCAACTCTGTTACTCAGATTGCCGGCTGCATTTGGGTCATAGGTTTGGGAGGCTAAATATGTAAGTGCAGTCACAACATCACCAATAAGAGGTCTTGTAGCAGCTTGTTCCTGCAAACACATGGCTGCAACTGCAAGAGCTTGGTAAAGTCCTCGCATTGGATAGCGACCTTGCAATAAAGGGTCAGCCATCTTGGGAAACTTCCTGCGATCCTTGAAGAGTGGTCGTGCCTACAAGTCCATACCCCACAAATAAAGAAGAAAGAAAAAAGAGAAACCTCGTTTCAGGTTCATTTAGTGACACATCTAAGAAATAAAACCGCAATATTGAAAGATATCTCCTACACAAAAATCAAAATAAGAATGAAGACAATACTTACCCACGCAACAAGATTATGCTCCCCATGAGCCCGTGTATTATCAATAGCCTTGCGCCCTGTGATCAACTCAAGAAACACAACTCCAAAACTGTACACATCAGACTTTAAAGTGAGTTGGCCGGTCATAGCATATTCTGGTGCACAATAACCATATGTACCCATCACTCGAGTGGATACATGGGTTTTGTCACCAACAGGACCCAACTTTGCAAGCCCAAAATCAGATAACTTAGGGTGATAGCCCTCATCAAGGAGAATATTTGATGATTTTAAGTCCCTATATATAACAGGAGGGTTTGCTTTATCATGTAGGTATTCTAACCCCTTAGCTGCACCAGCCGCAATCTTCATCCGTGTATTCCAGTCCAATGGTTCTTTGTCTGGTGGTAGATCTGAAAACAGATTATGAATAAGAAATCAAGATGGTTTGCAAAAATAGAAAAGTGTAATCCAGACTTCAGATCTGCACTAGCAATCAGATAAGATAGAGGTTGAACGTTAGTCATTCAAGAAAGTACTGCCAAAATGAAGTACAAATAGATAATGCCAGAACATATTTAAAAAAATTTAGGAAGTTAGAATTTATAAAGAAATATCAATTGAAGAATCAATTTCACTTGAAAAGACTAGCAAATAAGTATAATTCAATTTAGAAGATGAGTAGTTGCATTCGAATTGCTTTCTATGGAGTAGATTGTGATAGAGTTATTCCAAATCAATATCCCATATCTAGACACATGCTTGCTCAAGTGGTTATATGTGAATCTTTTATTTCCATTCTCAAAATAACAAAAGTGTTTCAGAACACATCAAAATTCATTTAAATATTTAGTCTACGATGATGAACAGACGGGCTATTGGAAGATTATCCTTGTGATTCAGATGCAACATTTCCAGATTTACCAAGATGTATAAGTAGCTGACCATCTGCAACACAGTGAAACCTTTAATGAATCATATGAGTAGTTGTGTGCATTTGCATGTTCATAACATCCATCTTACAACCTTAGACATTCTTTCACGAAGTTGCAGTGAAGATAAAGAACCTTTTTTGGATAGAGAAAGAATAAAAGAACCAGTAGCCCTCAATTTGATCAAGTAGACATCTCCAGGTAAACATATTAATCACAATGAGATTTAGCATTATGGGCATTTTGTCCTTGTTTTTGTGGACAGTTGGCTTGGCAGTTTTGTGTATCTCCTTATATTGTTTAAAAGTTCAATTTGTTTCTCAGCAAAAATATATGCTTCTTCATGAGACATTACTAGCAGGCTAGCTCAAATCTTTGGAGACAAATATAAGTTCTTTCCTAAGATATTCTTACAGCAAGTACCTAAGGTTTGCTACCTAAAGCTCCTCTCTAATCTATAAGGTGAAAATTTGTGTCATTCATCAGGCATTGAGAAGTGCAACTTAGATTTTTTTTTTTTTTTTTCTCCCTAATACATATTTGCTAAAAGGAGGAAAAAGTCAGAGGCATCTCAATGGATTAGAATATAAGTTCAGAGAGTCAAGCAAATGAGAAAGAGATAGACATAAAGAACAGATGACAAGTTTTGTCATGACCCTTGAGCAAGACTTGACTCCAAGCCAAACTTAGAGAGCTCGAGTTTGCTCTAATCATCTTTGAATCAAAGCTTTCGAAACATTGAACATAATAGTTAATGGAGTAGGGAATTAAGGGAGAGTTGCCACCAAAGCAAAGAGAATTTGAATATTCTCAAATTTTAATAAATTCTCTATCCTTACCATTACCATATTGTAGCCCTTCATTTCAGGACTAGGAGAAAAAGAAAAAAGTTACCCTAAAACAAAAGATTTCTTATATGGTCAATTGCAGACCAAAATCTCAAACAAAAAGAAACTTAGTAATTTGAAAAAGTAAAATCAAATAGATCTTCAGAATGTAATCCAGATATGACTAGATTTCCTTGAATAAACCTAAAGCTTGACTCATTGACAGTGAACCACACATCTGATGGTATTCTAAAATAATGAGTAATGAGAAGGTTTGTTTGATTGCATTAATCCTCTCTTGTTGGGAAAACTGGACCTTGATTTTTTTTCCCCCTTACATTAAATCAATGGTCTGCATCTTTGACCTCTGCCCGGCAGAATTCAGCTCTCATTTGCATTATTATTTCAAACACTCAACACAAACTTTGAACAAATATTAACATTCTTTAAAAAAATAATAGGAGCAAATCACACAAAAGATTCTGACAAGGAGACAAAAGAACAAGGATGAAAAAAAATATAATTAGTAATCGAAGAAAAAGGAGAAGTTTTGGGAGTTAGGAGAGAGAAAGATAAAGAGATAAACATATACATAAGGAAATTAGGAAAGGTATAAAACAGGAAACGCATAAGGGTAAAGAGGAGGAGAAGAAAAAGAGATTCTCGACTCTCTCTTTCCTCTCTATCTTCTCTCTGTAAGACAACGTAAAGAAAGATACATTAGGTTCACCTAAAGTGTCAAATCTTTGTCATTCATGTTTCACTAAAATCTTGAAAGGAGTCCAAAGAAATTAAACTAATTCAGTTAAATCAATTTAGAATTAAGGTAGACATTAGATGCTAATTGCAAAAACATGGTTCTAATACTATTATCAAGGTTGTTCATTTCAATGGTTTCTAGCTTCTATGGTAACCAAAGCAAAAAAGAGATTTCAAGTGAATTTGTTGCTCAGAATTCAATTAATACGATTAGGGCTCTACAAATCCACTATTTCCAAATGGTAGATGAAAGTGTACTGCAGGACATCTAGAAAAATGATGTTTCCACCTGTACTTATAGACACTTTAAATATCCGACTGATAAACTCATGTTGTGACAAAGGAATAACATTACTATTGTAGCATCTGTGAAGATTGTTAAATCCATACATCCAATTAGGAAATGTATCATGAAAGGACTTAAGTAACCATCCCAACCATGTAGTTAATTGTTCCTATTTCCATGCCAAAAAATTAAATTCCCTGTGATATAAAATGGCAGCATAAAGGCACTAGGTACAAGATGTTTCTTACTGTAATGAGTATAACTAACCGTGTAGATGATCTTCCAATGATCCCAAGGGCATGAATTCATAAACAAGGAGACGTTGATCCCCATCGGCACAATAACCAATCAAATTGACAAGGTTTGGGTGGTGTAAAAGGCTAAGCATCAAAACTTCCACCAAAAATTCTCTATTTCCTTGAAGGCCATTCCGGTCAAGCTGTTTGACAGCGACTACCTGAGAAAATAGTCATTCAATGCAACTAAAAATCATCAAAGAAGAGATGGCCTTTACTAATGGACACTTATGACAACAGAACCCATAATAGTTAGTAAAATGTCTTAAAGGGTGAAAACTTAATCAAGGACATTGTCTATCTGAAAAACAATGGCAAATGACAACAAGGCAACTAGGTCATGTCAAACATTATATATTAAGGACATCCAGTCCAAGGTTACCTGTCCTGTGCTTTCCAAGCGGCCCTTGTAAACTCGTCCAAAACCGCCTTCACCCAATAGACATTCTGGTCTAAAGTTTTTAGTGGCAGCAGCAAGCTCTCTAAATGTAAATGTTTGTGCAGCAATATTTGCAGTTGGTTCCTTAGGAACTACTGGTTCCTTCTTAGGATCAGAACCACTCCGAGATTTTGATTTGTCTATGTGAAGAAGTGAAATGAGAAAGAACAAAGAGTCAAATTTTAGCTAAGTGCATCAAATTTATAAGAGTGGTTAACCAAATGGCACTATCTTAAATTTAAGTTACAAATGCATACACATAAATCACATAACAAGGAACATTTCTTACACAGCCAAAAAAATCATGTAACATAATACAAAATCCCATATTACCTAATATGAGAATAAACTAAGCTTGTCTTTCTCTGTATAAATTTTACAAGAATAACAGAATTTCTAATGAAAATAACAATTTAAAAGTATAGCATAACACTAGATACTGCATTTTACATCTTTTTTTATAAAAGCGTCAAACGTTCTCAGTGGAAATGTTTGGTACCTTTTTTGTCTACAATATAACTTCTTTAACGTTCGAAATTTCCACTTTATATACAGTTATTAGCAGTCATTCTGCACTAATCTTGAAACATTGATATGAACAGATAAGATAATCATTTGAAAACTAGACAATTCGAGCTCCAAAAACTAAGAACAGATCTCCAAAATAAATTCCCAGCACCACTCTATTAGCTTGAAAATAAACAATATCATCAACCATAAAATCCACAATACCAAGTCGTCTAAAACTCCAAACTACTAAAAGCTTGAACACCCTAAATTCAGCCCACAAAAGTATGCATCAGATCACAGTAAAACAAATACTAGTAGCAAATATAACCCTAAACACTTAAAACAAAACCAAAAAAACCAAAAAAAGACAAAAAATTCAGATGCGGAGTGCCAATCCAAAACAAATAAACCCATAAACAGTATACTACCAAAACAAACTAAAAAGTAACAAAATTAAACTGAACTAACTCATTAACATGATGAGACGAGCAATTGAGCCATCTTTAGTTGAATCCTTCTTTCAGTCCTTTACTCCAGTATCAGCTTCCTTGTTGGATGATCCAAAACAAGGAAAACACCGACCCAATCAAATCCAAACAAATCAATTAAAAATTTAACAAAGTTTCAAACTTTGATACAACCAAAAACCTCTTTCAACTATCACTCACTTTCAGCATCCCTCTTTATAAAAAAAAAATTAATAATAATACTAAAAAACATCTCAAGAATTGCCCATCAGATCACTCTCTTCCAAAGTTCTTATCTTCTATGATCTTGAGTGCATTAAAGACAAGATCGAGACCAAAAAAGCAGATCAACAAATCGAAGAAAATCTGTGTTGTTGTGTGGTGTGGTGTGCAAGCAGAGAAGGTAAAGAAAAGAAAAGGAACCAAAAAAAAAAAAAAAGGAAATGAATAAATTATTAATTAATTAACAAAATAAACCATATTTTAAAGGGGTTAAAGTTTAATGTCAATATATTCTTAAAATTATTGTTTTATGATAGGATAAATACTTATAGCCTTTAGTATTTCAATTTTTACTGTTTAACCCTCTGAGTTTCCTTAATTTACCATCGTAATAATCATCATCACGGTCGGATCTGGGTCCCACCCAGGGATGTGCTTCCACACTTGTGAGGACATTCTTAACACATGCTTAATACTATTAAAGGAGGAGGGACGGGGCGTGATTCCCTATGGTTGCTGTTGTTATTTTCTCCGCGATGGGATCCAACCGTCGGATGAGATGATGATCATTGAAAAACTTCAAAAGGCGTGACGTCACTATGTTGATCCAACCAACATCTTTCAAAGTCAAATACTTACCCACTGTTACTCTACAAACTTAATTTAAAACAACATACTGTACTAACCAATTCCCCCACTTGCTATTATTTAATTAATACTAATCATATATATATATATATTTTTTTTTTTCGATTTCTTTTTTATTTTTCTCATCAAGGTTATAAAGCTTTCAATAATACTATATTTACTTACGATTTTATTAACCATCTTACTATCATGTATAAATATAACGCATAGTACGGATATCATACGCATAATACAGGTATCATATGTAATTTTAACAAAGGATAATAAGATGGTTAATAAGATCGTGAGTAAGCATAACATTACTCTAAAACTTTATACCGTAATCTCATGAGAGTTAACCACCCTTACGTGATTGGATGGTCAGACAGAGATTTTTTGATGTATTATTCAAAAAATATCAAATTTGAGTTATTTTAATACTAATCGAGATGATCACTAGAAGATATATTCGATTGTTACTTTAAATATATTAAAAAATTAGTTGAAACACGTATAATCGACATTAAAAGAAAGTTTGTAGGCATAAGTAAAAACCAACTTGCAAAGCAAGTTTATTTCTGTTTCTATACAATAGAATTGACAATATGTACTTGTCAATGTGTATATCAGAAGCAAATTTCAGGATGAGATTATCTTCTCAATTTTGTATCTTTTAAATTACTTACCATACAACCAACTTAAGAGTTAAGACATAACATAAATGATTATTATAGAAGCTAAAACTTAATGGACCAGTTTAAATCATTATACCAATAGGAGGGATCAGATCACTGTTCACATCACAGTCATACTGTTAATTCTAATGGGACGATCTTTCGGTGTTCATATTTTTTTTTTCAAAATCAAATAGCGGGAGTTATGAGTTTTGTTTGGGGGGAAGTACAAATTGATTAGACTCAAACAATAAACGCGCAGGAATAGTTAGGTTCAAATAAGGTCTTCTTCTCTTGAGCTAGGGTTCACTTTTTCACGACTTGGGGTCACACCCGCTGGCTACTATTACGAGAATTAGTTTTCTCACCAAGTACAACTTTTTCGTTTCGAATTTATAATCTTTTAAATTAATTAGAACTTAATTATCAGCTCATCCCGTTTGTTTCAGAGGCTTAATGAGAAGTTTCTTGTAGTACAAATCTCAATCTTTTAAGAGTTATCGGAAATTTTCTACTCAAATACTAGTTTAATGACACTTTTTCATCTGTAATTTTTTAAAATGTTATTTTACAATCAAAATTTATATTCTGATTATGAACTGAGAATAAACTCGATTTAGACTATTAGGGATTTTAAAGAGGAGAGGTTGATGAGTCTGTTGGTGGTAGAAGATTGGATTTTAACAATTAGAATTGATTGGAATGATGCTAAAATTGGAAATAGAATATAAATTTTGATAATAAAGTGATATTTAAAAAATATGTGAGTGAGAAAGTATCATTAAACCATTATTTGAGTGGAAAAAAAATTCGTTTACTCATCTTTTATTTTTAAACACCATTTTGGAAGTTAATTGGATCGCACTGGCTTACATTTATGGTACTTTGAAGACGGTTAGAATAATGACACATAATTATCTTCTTGATGATGAATCATTCCTAGCTAGCTACCAATACGGATATATATATATATATATATATATGACTTGGTAATTAGCTACCCTCCATTGTTAGGTAGCCTGAAGTGAAGCCAGCAGACAAATTCCACATTTTTCTGAGTAGCAGCTACTTTAGAGATGGCTGCAAATATAATAAAACCCTTACTCAATTTAATTAAACACCATATTGGGCTGTTAATAGCTGATTTATCTTGGAAGAAAGTTGAATAAACAGCAGCAACATATGAGTAATATTGTCAGGTTTGTCAGTTTCTGATAATAATTGAAGGATCAATTGTATAAGTTGATGTACCCAGAAGAAGAAAGTGTTTAAATAAATTAAGAACATGCATGCAGATGCAGTACTCTCAGTCTCAAACCTTGCAGATGAATAGAAAAGTATATATATTCACGTGGCTCATGTTGAGCTAAAAGAAAGATAAACCAGTACAAATATTAATTAATTAATTAATAATAATGAGAAAAGCTAGCTAAGATTTACATGGGATCTAGTGGAGTACTTCCATTGTTTGTCTTCAACGTGCACTGCACAATTATATTACAGTAATATTTTTTCTTTGTTTCATTTTGTCAGATTCCATGCCCACACTTTCTCCCAAAAATATTCTTATCTTTCTATGATCTTGAGTGTCCATTAAAGACAAAGATCGAGACCAAAAAAGCAGATCAACAAATCGAAGAAAATCTGTGTTGTTGTGTGGTGTGGTGTGCAAGCAGAGAAGGTAAAGAAAAGAAAAAGGAAACCAAAAAAAAAAAAAGGGAAATGAATAAATTATTAATTTAATTAACAAAATAAACCATATTTTAAAGGGGTTAAAGTTAAATTGTCAATAATTATTCTTAAAATTATTGTTTTTATGATATGGAATAAATACTTATAGCCTTTAGTATTTCAATTTTTACTGTTTAACCCTCTGAGTTTCCTTAATTTACCATCGTAATAATCATCATCACGGTCGGATCTGGGTCCCACCCAAGGGATGTGCTTCCACACTTGTGATGGACATTCTTTAACACATGCTTAATACTATTAAAGGAGGAGGGAAGGGGCGTGATTCCCTATGGTTTCTGTTGTTATTTTCTCCGCGATGGGATTCCAACCGTCGGATGAGATGATGATCATTGAAAAACTTCAAAAGGCGTGACGTCACGATGTTTGATCCAACCAACATCTTTCAAAGTCATATTACTTACCCACTGTTACTCTACAAACTTTAATTTAAAACAACAAACTGTACTAACCAATTCTCCCACTTGCTATTATTTAATTAATAAATAATATATATATATTTTTTTTTATCGATTTCTTTTTTATTTTTCTGATCAGGGTTATAAAACTTTATACGGCAATCTCATGGGAGCAAACCATCTTTGTCTGGTATTATTAAAAAAGTTTTAAATTTAAGTTATTTGATACTAATCAAGATGATCATCGCTAAAAGATATATTTAATCGTTAATTTAAATATAATAAATAATTAGTTAAAATACATACAATCGGCATTAAAAGGAAGTTAAAAGACTATTTCTATACAATAGAAATGACAATATACACTATGTACTTGTCAATGTGTATATCAGAAGCAAATTTCAGGATGAGATTATCTTCTCAATTTTGTACCTTTTAAATTACTTACCATACAACCAACTTAAGAGTTAAGACATAACATAAATGATTATTATAGAAGCTAAAACTTAATGGACCAGTTTAAATCATTATACCAATGGGAGGGATCAGATAACTGTTCACATCACAGTCATACTGTTAATTCTAATGGGACGATCTTTCGGTGTTCATATTTTTTTTTTTTTTTCAAAATCAAATAGCGGGAGTTATGAGTTTTGTTTGGGGGGAAGTACAAATTGATTAGACTCAAACAATAAACGCGCAGGAATAGTTAGGTTCAAATAAGGTCTTCTTCTCTTGAGCTAGGGTTCACTTTTTCACGACTTGGGGTCACACCCGCTGGCTACTATTACGAGAATTAGTTTTCTCACCAAGTACAACTTTTTCGTTTCGAATTTATAATCTTTCAAATTAATTAGAACTTAATTATCAGCTCATCCCGTTTGTTTCAGAGGCTTAATGAGAAGTTTCTTGTAGTACAAATCTCAATCTTTTAAGAGTTATCGGAAATTTTCTACTCAAATACTAGTTTAATGACACTTTTTCATCTGTAATTTTTTAAAATGTTATTTTACAATCAAAATTTATATTCTGATTATGAACTGAGAATAAACTCGATTTAGACTATTAGGGATTTTAAAGAGGAGAGGTTGATGAGTCTGTTGGTGGTAGAAGATTGGATTTTAACAATTAGAATTGATTGGAATGATGCTAAAATTGGAAATAGAATATAAATTTTGATAATAAAGTGATATTTAAAAAATATGTGAGTGAGAAAGTATCATTAAACCATTATTTGAGTGGAAAAAAAATTCGTTTACTCATCTTTTATTTTTAAACACCATTTTGGAAGTTAATTGGATCGCACTGGCTTACATTTATCATTCATTTATGGTACTTTTAAGACGGTTAGAATAATGGCACATAATTATCTTCTTGATGATGAATCATTTATAGCTAGCTACCAATACGGATATATATATATATATATATATATGACTTGGTAATTAGCTACCCTCCATTGTTAGGTAGCCTGAAGTGAAGCCAGCAGACAAATTCCACATTTTTCTAAGTAGCAGCTACTTTAGAAATGGCTGCAAATATAATAAAACCCTTACTCAATTTAATTAAACACCATATTGGGCTGTTAATAGTTGATTTATCTTGGAAGAAAGTTGAATAAACAGCAGCAACATATGACTAATATTGTCAGGTTTGTCAGATTCTGATAATAATTGAAGGATCAATTGTATAAGTTGATGTACCCAGAAGAAGAAAGTGTTTAAATAGATTAAGAACATGCATGCAGATGCAGTACTCTCAGTCTCAAACCTTGCAGATGATAATAGAAAAGTATATATATTCACGTGGTTCATGTTGAGCTAAAAGAAAGATAAACCAGTACAAATATTAATTAATTAATTAATAATAATGAGAAAAGCTAGCTAAGATTTACATGGGATCTAGTGGAGTACTTCCATTGTTTGTCTTCAACGTGCACTGCACAATTGTATTACAGTAATATTTTTTCTTTGTTTCATTTTGTCAGATTCCATGCCCACACTTTCTCCCAAAAATAATCATGCTCTTTATATAACAATCCAGATTAAGGTAAACCCTACGTGTTGACAAAATTTGACTCAAAACCATTCTCAAAGTTGATCTGAAATCTAGAAAAACTGTTTTCTCGCAACAATCCAATTCGAATGCTGCGAGTTTCTTGTTTTCATTTCTATCAAGAACTTTTTGGACACGTATTCATTTTTTATATGGTGCTTCTCTGTCCATCATTTTCAATGTACTTGCGCCTCCAGCACTATCCACTTGTCCTCAAATCTTTCCTGATTATAAGATTTAAAATTGCGACTCCGGAATTTATGGATAAAAATTGAAAGTGTAATAGATGGGAGGTGCCCTTGGAATAAGGTCAATAAGCATGATTTGCGCGGTCAAGTTGGACGGTTCATTGACCACCGTCCATCCTATTCTTGTAGAACACGTGGAGCAGTTACTGTGGTCAACGATTGTTGACCAACTGATGATTCATTCTAATCCAGAACTTTCTCATGTTACCAATCACGTTCACGCCGTCTGATCAGACATTATCCAATGATCACCGTAAAAACAAAACTTAACAACGTATGATTAAGAATCTAAAAGCGTGAACTTATCTGTTGTAATAACGGACACGTGGTTTGCCTGAGCTAATGGATCAATTAGTATTGTCTGATTGGTGCAATAACAAATCAGATTTTTTACAAAGAGATTCGGCTAGATAGAAGGCTGGCCCACGGGCTGACTGGTGGTTACGGTTCAGAGAGTGACAGCTTGAGGGCAGACCATAACATGATTCATGGGCTGGGCCCTCTTTTTGTGGGCTTAATATTAGGCCCAATACGTGACCTTGGGCTAGATCATTTAAGAATTTGGGCTTCTTAGATTTAGTTGGCCCGGCCCATATTGACAGAACCAAAAATAATTGATTTATGTTCATGTAGTATTAATTACCCCTCATTTTTTATTTTTTTGTAGTAAACTTTCTCTACCGTTATATTTGGTATGGTATGAAAATGTAATCGGGGAAAGAAAATTTGGAATTTCAAGCATAAAATACATTAGTCAAAGAAAGAAAATAGAAAATAGAAAATTAAAATTAAAAAGACAACACCAATTATAATTAAAAAAATATATATAGGAAAAATATTGTACTACAAATAAATTGTTAATGGTTTAAAAGAAATAATGAAAAGTAAGGGAATTCGTGGAATGTAACATAGCAATATAAGGTCCACCCTTTTCTTGTCCTAATGCGTTGAACATTTCCCACAATATTATGGATTCTTTTGTTATTTACAAGTTGAATTTACTGATTGATAGATATGATATAAAGCTAAATTGATTGATAGATATGATATAAAGCTACTTCATTAACACATTTTTTTGCACCTCATCAGCAGCCTAGTGTCACCCAAGTTCTCATCATCAGCTTAGTGTCACCCAAGTTTATTCCACAATCCACATAGAAGTATTGCCCTTGGATTTTAGCTTAATTGTCACCTATTAAATTTAAAGAAAAAAAAAAAAAAAAAGAATAAAGAGATAGTGTTATTTTTATTATTATATTTGGGTAATTGGATTATTATATTTGGACTTAAGTCCACGGTATAGTCGAAAGTTTCCTAGTTGTTTTTGTGTCCTCATCACCAATTTAGTGGGATCAGCATTTCTATTGAACAATATATATGTGTCATATTTAAGAGATAATAAAATAGATTCTTTTCACCAAAAAATAATTTGGTATCATAGCCTCCTCTTGTGTGATCAAATTGCCAGTTTCGGTCACCTTCCACCGCCGATCTTGCTGATTTTCTTAAATTAATTCAGACCATAGGGGCCTGTTTGTAAGTTTTCAAACTGATAGGGTTTTACAGCTTACTTTGCTGCTGATTAGGCTAGTGATCCGATTGATCGACAAGCTACTACCGGTTATTAATTTCTTCTTGGTGATTCCTTAGTTTCTTGGCGAAGCAAGAATAAATCAGTAAGTTGTAGTTTGTGAGGTCGAGGCTGATACTACTTATGAGCTTATCTGGTTGAGATGACTTCTAATAGACATGGGTGTGGGAGCTTTTAGGGAGTACTCCTCCCCTATGTGACAATCGAAGTGCCAGTCAAATCACGCATAATGACATGTTCCATGAGCATACCAAACATATTGAGAACAAATAAAGGATTTTGCACCTTCTTTATGTCTCTTCTACCAATCAACTTGCGAATCTCTTCACCAAAATACATTCCTAGGGCAGTGTCATGATCTTATTAATAAACTGAAGTTGGTAGTTACTCTACCGCCTTAAGTTTGAAGGGTGTTAATTTTATTATTATATTTTAGTTTAAACCATGTTAATTGTATTATTATGTTTATGCTTAAGTCCACTGCATAATCTAAGGTTTCCTAGTTGTACTTCTGTTCTACGTCACCAAGTTAGTAAGGTTATCATTCTTATTGAACAGTGTATATGTGTATTAATTTAGAGATAATAGACTCTTTTTTTACAAAAAATTAACTGAGAGAAATAAAAGAGAGAGAGAAATTGGCAAGTCCACATATTCGAGTTCTAGTGTCAATGGTTAGGGCTTACGTGAATTCCTTTGCCACTACAATGTACTAGCTCGATCAAGAGAAATTATATAAATTCATGCATCCCAGTTTGTGGAAGGCATGAAATACCTTTTTCTGTATTAGGATAAAGTGGAATAAATTCCATCACAACATTAGACAAGGTGAATATTAATAGCCTATCTACCTAGCTTTTTCATAAAATGGAATAATATATACAATATTGTGCCACTAAAAGTTTCAAGTATATCACTTGTTTTTTCCTCCCTTTTTCTTTGTTATGCATCTAATAATTAGGCTGTGCTTAGAGGAAATGTCACTGGGTTACCTACAAAATACAATTATTTAGCCCTTTTAGAGGGTGGTTTTTGAGCTTTTTAGTCAATTACGTGCCTCTGTTGCTCTTAATTGAACAGGAAACTATCGATGACTTCTGAACTCTGATCAATTGTCAAAGACACAATCGAACGTAGAACTCACCAAAGTTCTTGCGATGAGTGACAAGAAGGAATTAATATATATATATATATAAATCTGCCTTGCTATGTAGAGTGATTATAAATCTCTCAAATACAACAATAATTGTCCATATATTTTAAACTTTTGGAAAACTAGATTTCGATATTGTGTGCATGGCTCTCGTCAGCGAATCAGAAGGTTGGCCTAACGATAGGATGAATAAGATTTCTTATTAATGTCGCTTTTGTGGACTTATACATAATCTAAAAGTTGAAATTCTTAAATATTGGTGGCTTTACTTTTCCAGGTTTTCACCATCGATCTTCTTCTCTGCACACCCTTTAAAGAAAGATGGACATGCGATACTCCACGTGGGTCTGCTGCCACTTATTTTGTGTGGATGTATCAAAACCAAAACCTATCAATTCGATCTTAAATTTTGCCATTGCTACTTTTTCTTATTTTCTTTAGTCTGCAGCTTATGTAATCGTAGAAAATGTTTATGGTAAATCAGCCACAAAATGTAGAAGAATCATACAAAAGCGCCCTCCATCTCATTGTATATATGAAGGAAACCGGCCCACCAGTGGTATCGTATGCATGGAGGAAATTAAAGGAAAACAAATGCATGCCCGACCAAGAACTTTGTAGTAATTAAAATATTTATTTCAAGATACAAAATGAGGAGCTAGGGCATCTAACTAGATACCATATGAGGAAAGGACGGGAATTATATATGTGATGTTACAAGAATACATATATCATTTTTCAAATTATATATGAATTAATGCACTATTTGTTTGGAGGATAAAACCCTACAAAGAATCGAAAGGCCAACCTGATGAGTGATGATGGAATAACACTAACAAAATTTGCTTATTTTACTTCATTATTGTGTGGTTGTAACCCCAACAAAGAGAATATATCCATCCATTGAAATGATTTTGTCATTTCAGCGTAGGCCACGACATCAGGGGATTTCAACGTTTATTCCACAAGGGTACGGAAACCGGAGTTATTTCATCAAATCGCAAATCATGAGCACCATGCCTTAACATTAATTTTAATCTACTTTGTTTAATTTACTCAAAAATATATATATCCTATATTATAGTACTTGTTATCGCTTTGTTTTACTCTATTTGATTCGTTACATTATTTGTCAGTAGAAATTGCACTTATGAGTCTACATGTGGCTTCAAATATATACAGAATTGTAGCAAAAGAAAGATATAATTCTCATCGATATATTATTACACAAAAGTTTAATACAGATACATTTCAGGAAAGTTTTCATATATATATATATATATATAAGATATTACAGACTCTATAGGTATTTAGCAGTACAATATTACATTGTAACTTTGAAGCAGCCGGGTGTCATTCAAGCAAAAAAAGAAAATGGGAAACTGAAATCCAACTAATTAGGTTAAGCTTATATTCGAAACTTAACTAGATTTTATGGGTTTGGCTGAGTTAATTAATATTGTCACTAAAGCCACAAAGCACCAGCATCTTTGAGCAGTTTCTTCAAGGAGCCATTGAGCTGAAGGGTCATGACTGTGTTAGCGGAGCCTACAAATTTTCCCCCAATGAACACAGCTGGGACTGAAGGGTTGCACCCTAGCCTCAGGAGGGCCCATTCCATTTCTTTGCCTCGACTGTCCTCATCCAGTTCATAAATTGCAGGACTTACCCCTTGATCGTAAAACAGTCTCTTGATTGCATGGCACATGCATCAAGAACTCTTACTGAATATCACCACTGCCTTCTGTGATGCCAATTTTGCAACGCGATCCATTTGAATGATATGCAGTAAAGATATATAGCGAGCTAGTAAAAAAATGCAGCCGCTAAAGATAATTAAAACTTATAGTTATTAGTGATAGCACAGGTTGTGAGAGAGAGAAAGTTGAAAAAGTTTTGATGGTAATGTGTGGGAGATAAAGACTAAAAATTGAAGCAAATGTTTTGTTAGAGGGCGTTGTGTATTTGGTCGGTTGATGCAAATGAAGCATTGATGAAGTTATATATATATATATGAATGGCATGCAATATCATGACGTGCGATAGAATATGACATATTAGATTAATTGTTTATTAAAAGTAAGAAGAAGCTGGAAAGGTGAAGGTTCCTTTAGATATTTGGATTGATTCCCATGAACACCCTTAGTCTGATATTGACATGTGTGGTTTTCTTCAAAAATCACACCTAGTTGTTCCTAGAATCTCAAAAACTATATACGGATAAGCCAAACATCACCAAGGTCGGAAAGTGGATTTACCAAGAAAACAACGTTTGTGATTTCTTTAGTTGACAAAATAGCCCTAAATTGATTTCAAATTATATATGTAAATAAATTCCGAATGTGGGTGAAGAATGTCAACTATGGATATGGGATGATCACGTGAGATGAGAGACAGATCAGTGTGGTCGATCCAGACACATACAGAGATATAGCTGCATCATCTCTCAGGTGAGGTGGTGGGTATGGACTTTGAGTCTTCGAGAATAATTTTATACATAATATTATATCTATCTAAAGTTGACAAAAGTCCAACATAATGACAATCTTGTACAATATGAGACTCTTAACTGTTTATCATTGTCTTTATTATGTTCGTAAGATAGACAAGGTATGCTATGGACAACATTAATATAACTCTAATTGACTTAACTTATTCATCAATATTCTTGATCTTATATAATTAAGGAAAAAAAATGATGTAATAACCAATCGTATGCCCCCATGCCATGATTTGTATGCATAAGTTAGTTTCATATTCAAAGATGAAGATAATGTTGTAGAGATCGAGAAGAATTATAACCTGGCTGAAAGTTCCCCAACAATCAATTATCAGCTAAGCCGTATGCAAAAATGGCATGAGAATTGAGAAATCACAGCTAACACTAAAGAATAATATATAAATTCATGAATGACTATGAGCCATAGAATTGGGCTGGGTCTCAATTTCGTCTGTGGGCGCACTTCATATTACTCAGACAAAAGGGATCGTTTCACTATATCACGTATTGTAGGTATGAATATGATACTAGTACTACAGGGAACAACTTGTTATAATTAATTGACATTGATCTACACACAATCAACAGATTGTTCAAGTTGTAGAAACATCGATCCTTCCACGGGTTTACCAAAAAAAAAGAAAAAAAAAAACTCCGACAAGCATCAAGTAAATTACCTTTATTCCAAAATTTGAAAATATTTGAATAGTTAGCTAGAACTCTTAGACCTACAACAAGAATGTGTTTTCCACTCTTATTATACAATATTAATTACTCAAAGAGTGTAATGCAGCTCTTCAATCGACTCTAGAGAGACGACATAAAGTTGAATGGTTATAATTTTTGTATATATATTTGGTAAGTAAGTAGTATCATTAGAAGAGAGAAAAAATGTATACAAAGTGCCCATAAAAAAAGTGACCATCCTATCTCAAGACAGTCCCAAGGAAAGGAAAAAGAAAACACAAGCCTAATAGATTGAGAATCTAATCTTCTTTTATTTGTTTATCTTAAACACGCAAAAGATAAGAGATAAGAGGAGAGGAGCAAGCAAAGAAACACAAAGACAAAGACATCCTATCATAGGATATGTCTTGGGATATGATTCAAAAAAACCTAAACAAGACTAGGAATAACAATACACAACATCATTCCTACCTGAGGAAAGCCTTGGGTTAGGAAAATGTTAGGGCCAAAAAATGTACTCGGCCCAAAGACGAAGACACCTTCAACAAAGCTCAGAGCCATGACCCAATTCCAATTGGGTTCACAACAGAGTTCGCACATTAGGCCCGCCTATTACACCTGCCATGTTGCTTATTGCCAGAGCTCAATCAATAAAAGGTCCCGATTCGTTTGGACCTCATCATCAGCCTGCCTGGGTCCGGGCCCATTGATTCTAGACCACCTACTAGACTTAGGGCTTACTTGGAGCCCAAGGTTATCTACTTACTTCAGCATTATCCGAACTCTATCGAAGAGGTCTATTATTATCTTAATTCATCTAAGATCTGTATCTTAGACTCGTGGGGACTCCCTTTCCCACTAAGGTAAGGGAGTCAAAGTCTCTCCATTTTGACAAAACCTCAACTCCAAAGGGCTCACAGTCCTATTAGGACTTGAAGATCAAACAGTTGCTATTTAAACAAATGCCAACCCGCTCACTGGGAGACAAAGATTACACCTTCAAACCTATTAGATCTCACTCCTGGTAACCTTCTATTTCCCTAACCATCACTAAATGAACCTCATTTAGCTTTGCTGACTTGAACGTCGGAGTGCCTATGACAAACACCATCTTGGTATTTTCCATTCACTTCACGCTTGTTTCCTTACATGTGCAGGTACAGCGGATTGCTGGTAGCCTTAACCTCACGGGATCAGACCCTATTTCTGTAAAGGTAGATTTTTTAAATCTACAGAAAACCCTTTTGTATATTGATGCACGTTTTAAACACCCCTACAAATGAATTAAGTTTGAGAGATATTTGATAATGAATATTGATTTATCATCTTTATGCATGATGCTTAAACAATGACACAAAGCACATCCTGGCCAATCGATTATATATCAGAATCAACTTTGACAAGATTTGAAGAACAAATTAACAGTTACAGAATGCGCCTCGCGAAAATAACTACACATTAGACAAGGATATCATATCATATTATCCCTTATAATGCTAGTGATATGAAAATTTTGTTCGATTGATGAATGATGATAATCTTAAGAACAATAAGTTTGAGAGAATTTTTTTTTTTCTGCTTTAATTTGGAGAATTTGGGATGGAGAGGTATTCCTTGTGTTTCGTATCTGGAAAAGCATAATATTATGTTAAAGCTAAAGGTATAATATTTGTTCCTCAGCCTTTTGTTTTCTAGCTATCTTTATTTGAGAAAGAGAATATATAAGAGAGAGATAGAGAGAGAGATCAGGTAGCTCGCAATTTGTACAGGACCTGTACCTCGCCAACTCTAAATCTAAATCTTAATATGTGATGCCAGGATCCGTCCTCGCACTCTTCTTTTATCTTTTAACACATAAAGTTGACATTCTTTTCCCAACACTTGCCTTTCACTTTCCCCACCTTATCTTCTTCCCTCTTTCTCTCTCAATTACGGTCTCATGTTAAACATTTTCTATGTACATGCATGAGCAGACTATGCATGCCATACATAGTCTATAAATCATATACATGAATACATATCACATCCATCATAAAATCTATAACACAAAATTCAGACCTTTGATCACACGTTAGATATAAAAAGATTCAAAAAATGATACATATATAGATATGACCTAATTCTTATATGCGTGCATTCATATTAAGGGGGATTCGCATATGTGAAAGATGATAGGATAATCCATGCTGCATGCATGCAAATCTATTGATACGTAGTGGTGGGTATGTGTTACGGTCAAAGTAACCCTAAAATCTGGCTCTTGCCCTCTCTGTTGGGCCAATTATAATTTTTTTGATATTATGCAACAATTATATATACGTTTGTATAGATATTGTAGCTTATGTAGACGTGACCACATATATGACCTGAAAATTACGTATCAATGAAGAGTATAAATATATATTAAATACGCATTACTTTTGAGTTTTGACGTTACAATCAACATACCCAAGATTCCAACTGGTGACGAAAAGCTAATAAACAAAGTGAATTGGCTTTTACGTTTATTGGATTTTTCTAGAGATGGCATCTTTCTAAGCTTTTTCGNGGTGGGTATGTGTTACGGTCAAAGTAACCCTAAAATCTGGCTCTTGGCCTCTCTGTTGGGCCAATTATAATTTTTTTGATATTATGCAACAATTATATATACGTTTGTATAGATATTGTAGCTTACGTAGACGTGACCACATATATGACCTGAAAATTACGTATCAATGAAGAGTATAAATATATATTAAATACGCATTACTTTTGACGTTACAATCAACATACCCAAGATTCCAACTGGTGACGAAAAGCTAATAAACAAAGTGAATTTGCTTTTACGTTTATTGGATTTTTCTAGAGATGGCATCTTTCTAAGCTTTTTCGATATTTTCTTTTTAAAAATATAAAAATAATTAAATAAAATATAAATTACTCAAAAAATAAAAAAAAATATGATTTTTTCTTTTATTGATGAAACAATATAATATTTGTCTTTATTTAATCATCAACATAATATAGTTTAATTATACAGGAACCTTCTCATTAATTTCAATATTTCCAGTGTTTATACACGATTTAAACTAATTTGGGTGTTTCTTAAATTCTTATAAATTTTTTCAAAAACTTAAGAGAATATTTCGACAATTTCCAAGTAAAACTATGAAATAATTCTCAATTTAAAAAAAAAAAAATTGGAATTTTAAGAGAGATTTTGCCGTATTTTGAGGGGATTTATTTATTTCGGATAATCGGTCTTAATTTTCACCAAAAAAGACAGTGGAGTGGATGATGTTAGGGACCTCAAGAGCCATGGCATCTGTCTCCTCTTTCTTGGCGGAAAATGAATGCTGAAAGTGAAAGTGAATGGGAAGCTGCTGGCGTAGTTTATATAGTATATGGTAAAGTGTAGACAATATTCGTATAAAATATATATCTCTCGGAGAATTTAGTTAGTCTATTTTATTTTCAGTTATATATAAAGCTCATTTTATATAATTATACACAATTTTAGATCCAAATTTCAAGCGGAGACTTAAAAAAGTTCGTATGAGCTTGATGAACTATTAATCACTATTTACATCCATAGATATCAATCCAACTTTTTATCTAGATAATCAAGGTTCCAAATCTAATATATAGATTATATGCAAATCCAAGAACAGAAATATAAAAGGAAAACTATGACAAGATCAGAAAAGAGAGAGAGGGAGAGCCGAAGGCCATATATAGAAGATATATACTATTGGTTGAAGACTGTATCAGATGGTTGTAAATCTGTGTTTCTTTCTTGATTTTGAAGATATCTTTCTTTCTGTGATTTTAAATTGTTCCTCAGTTTGGCTATCAGTTTCATTTCTTGAATTCGATGCGAATCTGATTGTGAGAAGAAAAGGTCCCAATTGGATAACCCATACTATATGTATCCAACTCAGCAGATGCCTCCAAGATAGCTACAGAAAGAAGAAAATCCACAGATTAAAACAAACTACACAAAATTACCAAATTATATGTAAGCCTATCGTCTTGTTTATTATCTGGCAGTATGGGTCTATTTGACCCACAAAAACCCTACCCAACCCATTAACGTCTCTTAATATATACACAGCCAACAAATGAAACCAAACCCGGATCAGATCCGAAATGCCCGTTTACTGATATGATCCATCCACATATATATAATAACCATTTTGTAAATTTCTCAAATGCACTCAAAAAAAGAAACTTGGGACCAAAAACAAACCAAAAAAAAAAAAAACAAAGGGAAAAACTATAGTCATATATCCACATGCAACATTGGGACGATAATAATAAGCCGTACAAAGGACCAATCTCAATCTATTTCCGTATGCACAGATTCGTTCTTGAGCAACTTTATTTTGCGTCTTCAATCTTTTCAGCGAATGATCGATAAAATTGAAACCGACTACAATATCTAATGGAACATTCTCGCTATTTTTCACTATCAAACCTGCCAGCCAATCCACGTCTTCCCACCACCTTCAGATCTATATAAAGAGTTGAATGGCACCTCAATTACCTCACAGCAAAACCTCAAGTGTTCTAGCAAAGCTTTCATACATTCTCCACAAGCTCGCATTGCTTTCCTTGATCGTTTCTTTTTTCTTTTCTTCCACATTCTGTGAGTAGCGTTTGAAGCTCGAGTATATTTTAAGTTGCAATGGATAAGGTGACCAGAATGGCATCTGAGAGACCAGTGGTGATCTTCAGCAGGAGCTCTTGCTGCATGTGCCACACCATCAAGACTCTGTTTAGTGATTTCGGGGTGAACCCGGCGGTCCATGAGCTGGATGAGATCCCGGCAGGACGTGAGATTGAGCAGGCTTTATCAAGGCTTGGTTGCAGCCCAACGGTGCCAGCCGTGTTCATTGGTGGTGAACTGGTAGGTGGAGCCAATCAGGTCATGAGTCTTCATCTTAATCGGACCTTGATCCCAATGCTCAAACGAGTTGGAGCATTATGGGTTTGATTATTGGTATTATTAACCCAACATGCACATCAGGCACTAATTATTATAATAAACATCGTGTGACTTAGCTTAGTTACATATATAATTATATGATGTTACTGAGGATGTTAGCGGTGTCGGATGTTAATTTTTAGTTTATTAATCCTACTGAGTTTCCTGTATCTTGTACGTTGTCGTTTTTGATAATAAAGTTGCAGATTTTTCTGCTGTTTTCTCATATTAATCCACTGTAATTTCCATTTATTTAAAGTTCCCTTCATTTACGGTGTCGTTGCAAGGTTATTAAACCTGAAGTTTTTATTGATTTATTCGGAATTACAATTACTCACGTTGGGCGAATGCACGTGCTCACACACCCGCGGTCTGCTATTGATTTGTGAAATGTGAACTTGTAAATTGTAATACATTATACCTTATAGATTGTGGTAATAATTATTTTACTGCCGGTAAAGATTTGGTTAGCTTTTGGGATTCACACGTGTAAAAGAGAGATTCCACACCTTTCAGAAACCAAGTCCCAAAGCCAAGAACCCGCCAAGCCAAGCATCGGACAGTGGCCCACAGTGGCCGCACACCATTAATGCCTCGACTAACTAAATTATAAAACTACACTCCGAGCCTGACCTCAGTACCTCACTCAACGGTCATTTCATTTCACTTATAAGGTATCATGTGGTTCTCTTCACTTCCTCGCGTATCTTAGAACCACCCACCATATCTCTGTCTAATTACAGCTAACATCGTCACGACCACGCTAACCTACGCCTGTCTTTTATTACAGCTCACACAACCATTTGTACAGTAAGCAACAAACACTATACAATATCTCCTATCAATCAGTCAACAATAAACAAAAAAAATAAAAAAATAAAAGAAAAGATACTTTTATTTTTTTTTCCTTCACTTTCTCTGCAACCAAACAGAGGGTGATTGTCCTGTCAGAGCTTTTTGAAAGCGAAGTTACTTGGTACATTATTAGTAAAAACAGATTCATCATCATCATCATCATCCTTCTTCTTTCTTTCTGTTTTTTCACTGCTTTGTAGATAAGTTTCTATTTCATTTTGTGGTGATAAACTGATAATGCTGCTTCATTTGTGATAGTTAGGGTTTTTATCGTGAACTAATAGTTGTTGTCGAAGCTCCAGTTTACATAATGTTTGGTTTCTCTCGAAGACGCATGAAGCTTGGAAGGTGAGTAGTCATTTTATGTTAAGCTCTGAAAGTATATTACGGAGCTGAGTTTTCGTGTTCATTTGGAACTTAATTAAAATGTTATATTACTGTATTGTAATGGTAGATTAATCTAATAGTTACTAATCTATTGCTTTAGAGTGAAGAAGGTTCAGCTATCAGATTCTGCTCAGGGAATTAGGAGTCCTATAAGGCCTCCAAAACGAAATAGCAATCCCGATGTGAGGCTCTGAACTAGTATGTAATTAGTTTTTGTGTAGTTATTATACGTGCGGTGTCTGAATCTATTTTAATTTTTGCGCAGGGTGAATGTGCTGCTCCTGCAAATAGTCATTCTGATGAACGCGACTGCCAGTGTTCATCTGCTGTGCCTGAAACTAGTAGTGGCACATCTGGAAACTCTGAGAGTTGGATGGTTTTGTCAATTGCTGGGGAAAAACCTGCCCCTCGTTTTAATGTAAGATATTATTGGTTCTGGAATAAAAATCTTGTATAATAAGTGGTGCATTGGGCATTGGTGTGTGTTCTTATTGTTCTGCTCAAAGTGAAAACTTCAATTGTCTTATGAATAGCATGCAGCGGCTGTAATTGGTAACAAGATGATAGTGGTTGGTGGTGAGTCAGGGAGCGGATTGTTGGATGATGTACAGGTAAGAATTTGCAAAGTGGCACTAGTGACAAATGAGTTATCTAGAAATGATGCAACTGCAGATTTACAAACTTATTTAGAGCTACTTTAACTAATCACATTCTTCTGGTTAGGTCCTTAATTTTGACAGATTTACCTGGACGCCAGCTTCATCAAAACTGTACTTGTCACCAAACAGTTTGCCACTAAAGATCCCTGCATGCAGGGGACATAGTCTGGTATATAAATCTCCAATGCATTGGATCTTATATTGTATGTGATTGATAGTTTTTTGATAAAATTTGTAATTTGGCGTTGTTCGCTGTGTGATTCATGGGATGCTACTTGAATTTAGCTTTGTGGTATAGGATATGGCTAACAATAGTATATAACCTGAGATGACATACATATAGGCCTAGCCTGGGAAGAGAGAATTGCAACATGAGGGATTTGAATTTAAGACTTTTTAGCTTTGATACTATGTTAATAAACCACTAAACTCAAAAACTTAAGTTGATGATAAGGACCTGACAATAGTATTTAAGTTTAACAATCAGATGACTATAGATTTAACTTTGACCAAAATAATCATGATCTTTCAATCCACCCGGTTTGAAGAAAGTGGAAGATGAAAATATATAGGGAGCAAAAGTTAAGCAGCTTATTATCATTTTCTTAAAACATTAGAAAAAAAAAGGCAGTAAGAGATTGGTGAGTAAGGTGCATAAAAAATGATGCAATGTAAAAGGTGTTCTCTTCCTGCCTCAAGCATAACAAATAGCTACCTTAACATTAAGATTGCTTAACCAATTAAGAACTATATTTCATTTCACTCCTTGGGTTACGAAAGCTTCAAAAGCACATGTGTGCTGAAAGTTCTTTCTGTTGTTTTTCTTGTTCAGGTCTCTTGGGGAAAGAAGGTGCTCCTAGTTGGAGGGAAAACTGACTCTGGGAGTGACAGAGTTTCAGGTTGGATCTCTTTGTTTCTATAGCTAATTTTATCATTTATTAGAATGATTCTTATCCTCTCTTTGGTCTTTTCAGTTTGGACATTTGACACAGAGACACAGTGTTGGTCTTTGATGGATGCAAAGGGAGATATACCGGTACACTTTTTAAAACTTATCAAATGTGCTAATCATATCTTCATGTGAATGCTACTTACATCCATCATTAACTTTCTATGGAGGGCATTCAACTTATTTGATAAAATTGTACTTCCATGCGTCGCATGAATACCTGATATCAATTTATTAAATATCAATGTGCACTATTGCATTCACTCAATTCAAGACTTAAATGAAGTGCCTGTGGATAAGAGGATTAGGTTTGGTGAATATGAATTTGTATAATTTATTGACTAGAGTAGGCAGAGCATAATTGTGGGCAACGCATTTCTTGAATGAGAGTATGATGCGTGAATTGTTTGGCTAATATCCCATTACTTTCAATTTTATTTTATTGTTTATTTTTTATTTTTTTTGTGAAAGTAAAACATTAGTGAGTAACTGCAGTCCATTCAGAAGCCAGCAGCATTCTGTAATATAGACATAAGTGATTCCATCAATGAAGCTCTTTAGTCATGCACCACCCTAACTAAAAGTTATGATTTACAGGTTGCTCGCAGTGGACACACTGTGGTTAGGGGAACTTCTGCTTTGATTTTATTTGGTGGAGAAGATGCTAAAAGGAGAAAACTAAATGATCTGCACATGTTTGATCTGAAGTCTTTGACATGGCTCCCTCTTCATTACAAGTGAGTGAAATCTATTATGTTGTGGAATTTGTCAACCTGTCCACTGTCAACATTGCTGCTGATGGATGATCATGCTTCTTGTTTCTCTCAAATACCACATTTTTGTTATAGTTGCCTCTCATGAACTATTGTCTTCTAACTTGTGACAGAGGAGCAGGACCATCTCCTAGAGTGAACCATGTGGCAGCACTTTATGATGACAAGACGCTCCTTATATTTGGAGGATCGTCGAAGTCCAAGACATTGAATGACTTGTATTCACTTGACTTCGACTCGGTGTGTTAGAACTTGCGAATCTTACTATGACATTACTGATTGGCCAAACAATTTCATTTCATCAAAGACAACATTAAAATTTCATTAGCTGTGAAATATTGACAAGTTCTCTCTCTCTCTTTCAGATGATATGGACTAGAATAAAGATTCGAGGTTATCATCCATCACCTAGAGCTGGATGCTGTGGGGTTCTATTTGGCACTAAATGGTATATAGCAGGGGGTGGAAGTAGGAAAAAACGTATGCCCGACGAGCTTAATAGCATATACTTGCACTGTTTTTAATCCATTCCTTTCATGTTGAAACTCTTGAAGAAACATATTCACTAAGACATTAACTATATTACTGCCTTCTTTTTTGTTGTGCCTTTGAGGCAGATAAAGTTTTTATTGCTTAATTGGAGGAAACTAACAACTTCCAAGCTTCCTTGTGATTCTAGCTTGGGCTTGCTTATGGATGCATAATCTGAAAGGAAGTTCCAAGGGTTTCATATCGGGAACGTGATGTTCTAATTTGGCCATCTAGTTTAGTTTATTATTTAATTATATAGAAGAGCTGGTAAACATAGCATGCGGGTTATGGTTCTTGATAAATACCTAAATCATAAACAAAATATGAAAAAGAGGTGTACCAATGAAACTTCTATAGTACATGTGATTGGTTGTGTTACTAAATTTTTTGTTAGAGCTTGAATGTTGTTATTAGATCCTAACCTATATCAGCTTAAGCTTATGTGTAATAGTTAGTCTGATATTAGAGCCAAGTTGACCTAAACATGCATTGGTTCTTTTGAACAATATGAATGCCCATGCTGAATGTGGTAGGAACTGGATTTCATGTCTGATATGAATATAAGCTCCTGATATGGATTTAATTCCAGCTGAGCTTATTACTATAGATGCATTAAACAATTTAGTCTTTGCAATTACTTATGGAGTATTTATTTTATATTTTCACTAAATCATGGCCTAAATTTCCTTTTCACTTCAAAACCCATTTCTCTTTTTTCAGGACATGCTGAGACTTTGATCTTTGATATTCTAAAAGTGGAGTGGTCTGTGGCCATTACATCACATCCATCTTCTGTCACAGCCAACAAGGTGAGCTATGATGAATTTTTAGCCCATGAAATTTCTGATTTCTCTATGACATATAACTGTAATGAACACCTTCTCTGGTCTTAAAATTTACTTCTACGTTTTAACTATGAACTGAATATGGTTTCCCTATTTCGTAGGTTACCAACAATGTTAGATATAATTACCCATTACTGTGGTTAGTCTTTGAATTTAATATTTAATTTCTGATCGTAGCATGAGTGAGTCATTATAACTTATTATTGCAAGGCACTAATTCTAGTATAAGATGTCATTTGAAGACGTGAAGCTCTCTGTGGTGGCAATATTCTTGGCTTGGATAGGCATGTTTTATTTTATTTTTGTATGGGTATTGTTTCCTCAAGATGGTTCTTTGTCCTCAGGGATTTAGCCTAGTTCTTGTGCAGCACAAGGAAAAGGATTTCCTTGTTGCTTTTGGAGGATCCAAGAAGGAGCCATCAAATCAGGTTTGACTTTGAAGTCATAATTTGTACGATAGTTCATCTTTCTTGATTTTTCAATTATAATTATTTTTTTCTTTCAGGTTGAAGTACTGAGCATTGAAAAGAATGAATTATCTATGGGTCGCCGATCCACTCCAAATGGTAAAGGTCTGGGACAATTGCTATCAGAAAAACGCTCATCATCTGTGGGAATGGCTACTCAACTTATTAATGGTTCTTCTCAGCGTTCAGTTGACTCTGTTGGAAGGCAAAACCTAGCCTCTGCCATTGAACAACATGGTTCTGGTCGGAAATCTTTGTCAGAGTCCTCACTAGTTGATACAAATCCTGTTTCTGGGAAAGCCTCTCTTTGCAAGCAATTTCAAAACGAGGAAGAATACAGCACAGCTGTTAAGTTGGCAAAGAGTCCGGAGGATGAAACTTCCTTTTCACAGGTAAGCTTTAGAAATTACCGTTACTTAACTACATTTACCTATCTTTTATTATCATGATGTAAAATTTGGATTCACCTAAAATTTGCAAAATAATTATTTTTTACATATTAAATTTAATGTACCAAGTTTAAAATCGAATTATTTATGCATTAAATCATTTTTGTACTATTTTCAGCAATTACAATTAAAGGCATTTTCATTCTTTCATTTCAGATTGTATTTAGGGAAATGATACCAAATAAGTTCTTGCATTTTGCAAAAATATAAAATTCAAACATCTTACTTTTATTTTAATATTCANACATGTGATTGGTTGTGTTACTAAATTTTTTGTTAGAGCTTGAATGTTGTTATTAGATCCTAACCTATATCAGCTTAAGCTTATGTGTAATAGTTAGTCTGATATTAGAGCCAAGTTGACCTAAACATGCATTGGTTCTTTTGAACAATATGAATGCCCATGCTGAATGTGGTAGGAACTGGATTTCATGTCTGATATGAATATAAGCTCCTGATATGGATTTAATTCCAGCTGAGCTTATTACTATAGATGCATTAAACAATTTAGTCTTTGCAATTACTTATGGAGTATTTATTTTATATTTTCACTAAATCATGGCCTAAATTTCCTTTTCACTTCAAAACCCATTTCTCTTTTTTCAGGACATGCTGAGACTTTGATCTTTGATATTCTAAAAGTGGAGTGGTCTGTGGCCATTACATCACATCCATCTTCTGTCACAGCCAACAAGGTGAGCTATGATGAATTTTTAGCCCATGAAATTTCTGATTTCTCTATGACATATAACTGTAATGAACACCTTCTCTGGTCTTAAAATTTACTTCTACGTTTTAACTATGAACTGAATATGGTTTCCCTATTTCGTAGGTTACCAACAATGTTAGATATAATTACCCATTACTGTGGTTAGTCTTTGAATTTAATATTTAATTTCTGATCGTAGCATGAGTGAGTCATTATAACTTATTATTGCAAGGCACTAATTCTAGTATAAGATGTCATTTGAAGACGTGAAGCTCTCTGTGGTGGCAATATTCTTGGCTTGGATAGGCATGTTTTATTTTATTTTTGTATGGGTATTGTTTCCTCAAGATGGTTCTTTGTCCTCAGGGATTTAGCCTAGTTCTTGTGCAGCACAAGGAAAAGGATTTCCTTGTTGCTTTTGGAGGATCCAAGAAGGAGCCATCAAATCAGGTTTGACTTTGAAGTCATAATTTGTACGATAGTTCATCTTTCTTGATTTTTCAATTATAATTATTTTTTTCTTTCAGGTTGAAGTACTGAGCATTGAAAAGAATGAATTATCTATGGGTCGCCGATCCACTCCAAATGGTAAAGGTCTGGGACAATTGCTATCAGAAAAACGCTCATCATCTGTGGGAATGGCTACTCAACTTATTAATGGTTCTTCTCAGCGTTCAGTTGACTCTGTTGGAAGGCAAAACCTAGCCTCTGCCATTGAACAACATGGTTCTGGTCGGAAATCTTTGTCAGAGTCCTCACTAGTTGATACAAATCCTGTTTCTGGGAAAGCCTCTCTTTGCAAGCAATTTCAAAACGAGGAAGAATACAGCACAGCTGTTAAGTTGGCAAAGAGTCCGGAGGATGAAACTTCCTTTTCACAGGTAAGCTTTAGAAATTACCGTTACTTAACTACATTTACCTATCTTTTATTATCATGATGTAAAATTTGGATTCACCTAAAATTTGCAAAATAATTATTTTTTACATATTAAATTTAATGTACCAAGTTTAAAATCGAATTATTTATGCATTAAATCATTTTTGTACTATTTTCAGCAATTACAATTAAAGGCATTTTCATTCTTTCATTTCAGATTGTATTTAGGGAAATGATACCAAATAAGTTCTTGCATTTTGCAAAAATATAAAATTCAAACATCTTACTTTTATTTTAATATTCAGTTTTAAAACCCAAAACACACAAAAAAATAAAAATAAAAATAAATAAATAAATAATAATAATAAATAAATAAATAAATAAAAAATTACGATCTTTGGTTGATCTAATATAAGAGAATTATCATCAAAACATATGTATTTATAAGAAAAGAGGATCCATAATCTTTGTTAACATACCATTCTGGTTTATTTCAGGCAACTGAACATAGAATAAATCAATCCGATTTGGGAACTCAGACTAATATCAGTGGAGGCAAAATCAGTATTGATGAAGCACTTTCATTTGATTCTGAAAATTTAAGTATCCAAGGAGTTGGAAACTTTCCTGCAGATAGTGATGATGTAATATACCCAGAGAACGACAGTAAAACAGGAGCATTATCTGGTCCTTCAAGCATGTATCAATTTTATGAGACAAAGATGGCCACTCTTATAAGAAAGAATGGTGTATTGGAAGGACAGTTAACAGCAGCTTTGTCAAATCGAGAAGCTGCAGAGAAAAATTTGTCTTCTGTTCTGAGGAGCAGACAGGAGATGGAGAAAAAATTGGTGGATACAATGAAGGAGATGGAGATGCTGAAAGAGAAAGTTGCTGGTTTAGAACTAGCACAAGAAGAGGCGAACAGCTTGTCAAATATTGTCCACTCTGACAATGTAAGGCTTGAGCATGATGTGGCTTTTCTAAAGGCAGTGTTGGATGATACCCAGAAGGTACACTATTTGATGTAATCACAATGCCTTTAACTCCTGTAAATGGTTATTGTGATCAGCTAATTCAATGTTTTTTGTAGGAGCTGCACTCAACTAGAGGAGTCCTCGCAGGAGAGAGGGCAAGAGCATTCCAGTTACAGGTACTGAATTCATAAATAAAAGTTAGAACGCCATAGTTTGTTTGATTCATATGCGGTAGGTTCAAGTGCACCACCTTTTTTTTTTTTAGCAATGCTACACATACAAAGGGGGCATACAAAGACAATCCTCACCCTTGATTTTCATGATTTCTCTCTCTCTCTCTCTCTCTCTCTCTTTTTCTGTTTTTTCTTTGTTTTTTTCTTCTAGATGATGTCACTTTGTAGTCCTCTTTGTAAGGATAACATTTTTTTTTTTTTTTTACGCCAAGTATTTTAAATAGTTTAGATTTAATGCAACAGGTTTAATTAATGTACATTGAAAATGATATAATTTATATGCAATTTTAACCAATCAAATCCAGGATTCAAAAGTTATGTTCTTAAACCTGTCTGGTCTTATATTTATAGCTCCACGTACACAATTTGTAGTCTTGTTGATGCTCCATCTCCTAAAGACATACATTAGTTACAATAATATTTTGAGACCAAATAAGTTTTTTCATCATAACATTCCGGATCCACACTTAAATTTTTGCCTTGCAGGTTGAAGTTTTTCATCTGAAACAAAGACTACAATCTTTGGAGAACCGAGCACCTACTCCCAGGAAACCTTTCAATGTGTAATATGAAATTGAAGACGAAATCAGAGGGAGTTGTTTTATTGTAATCTGTACCGTATATATGTTAATGAACCACTACTACAATACATGAATTCAGTTGTAAAATTTATTTAGTCTAAATCTTAAGAATTACCACGTACTGCAAGTATGCTGTTTCTATATCTATTTCTCTAATATCATTTTCTGTCAAGTTGTACTATATGATATAGGTTGGATTTAGGAGGATTTTCTTATGAACTTAGATGTAAACCAACTGTTGTTAAGTCTTAATGTGCAAAACTTAAGATCTCAAATCTTTAAGGTCTATCGAGATGATTCATTTAATGAGATAAAGTCAGTAAATCAACAATGCCATGTCAGCTCATCAATTTCAATATACAGTATAGTATATCACAGTACAAAATACACAATACAACAAAGTATTAGAGCATTGAATACATCTACACTATGCTATAGCAACCCTTTTAGTTGAAATGATCAAAACCAGCCTTTTCATTTCACCTTGGCGAAGCATTACTCAGTCCTTCAATAAATCTTATATATGTAATGAATTTCCAACCAATTCCCCCCTCATTTTGGACATTTTAAGTTAAATAATGTGATTGATACCTGGTTGACAGTTTGCTCTCGGGTGAGGTTAGCACGGCATGGCATTTTACTCCAAAAAAGTGTAAATCTCCGTATCGTAGAAACTTCTCTCAGGCTTCTCTTAGTTCAACTTCACAAAAGTTCAGGCTCCTCCTGATCTCCATCAGCATCCTCAACCTCATTCTCTTCATCTTCTTCAGGAGCATCAGGATCCACTCCCTACAGAGTCATAGTGTAAGAGAGTTATTTGGCACATAATGTTTGTACAAGTATTTTGTTCGATCTTTCAACTCATGCGACACCCCCTTGCATTTTTTTTCCCCAAAGCAAGTCTTGCCTTGAAGAACCACATCACCATGTTTTGGGCTACCAATGACTAAAAAGCAAAGAAAACACTTAATGCAGATGCACATTATATTATATAGGGGGTAAACAAAAGTTAGAATCTTCATGTATGGAAAGAAGACAAACCTTCATCTGCTTTTCCAAGCGCTCTAACCCTTTTTTGGCAGCTTCATTCTGTGGGTTTATTCTGCAGCACACATTAAAAACCATCTCCTTAACATTTAGGTAAAAAAAAAAACTTTTTAATGCAGGCCAGACTAGAAGAAAGAAATTGGAGAACATTGTAACCTCAAAGCAGCCTCATAATGTGACAAAGCCTCTTGCAGCATATTTGTGGCTGCAAATACTTGAGCCAGCTTGACATGAAGGGAGTCATCAGCCCAATCTTTGAGATATCTCTCAAGCAGAGATACGGCATCTCCATTTCGACCCTCAATGACATGGAGCTCAGCCAAAGCTAAGGCAGCTCCCAGGTAACCAGGTTCCAGTCTGAGTGCGGATTCATAGAATTTTTTTGCCTGTTACATGTTCAATTGAGTTGAAACTTTTCACACCTTGATTGAAGGCAATCTCTACTCATATTGATACAACGAATTCATGACAGGTTTACCTTCTCTCTGCCACTAGCATTACTTGCATGTACATCCCCAACTAATTTTAAAGCCTTTGCAGACTGAGGCATTGCCTTCATTGCCTCCCTGGCAGCATATAGAGCCTCCTTGACTTTCGAGAATGCCAAATAAGAATGGACCAAACCTGAAAATATAGTGTTTTCTTATCATTGTCTTGATAACAAAATGTACAATTCTCAGGTGAAGTAATGAACAATTAAGTCTCATCTTTACCCCCTTAAAAATCACACCTTGATATGAGCGGAGATCAGGTCTCAATTCTTGAGCTCCTCTGAAGGCAATCACAGCTGCTTCTGGTCGCTTCATAGATAAGAGCAGATTACCCTATGGATATACAAGAAAATTTAGTTGATTGCTGATATTGAGACAGAAGTTAGAAACTGGAATACTCATGGTGTAAAACCGTACATGAATGCACAAAATTAATTATCGAGAAAGACCTCAATAAAAGTGATCTCCATTCAGTTGAAGATTATTTCAGTACCTTCATTATATAACCTGGTATGTGCCTCTCATCAATTCGGATGCTCTGATGCAAAAAAATTAGTGAAATCATGGGCCATGAAAAAATATAGAAACAGACTACTCCAAATTTATGCACTAACCTTGTTAAATATAATCTTTTTTTTCCTAAAAAATAAAGGAACAACTAACCTTCTCAGCATAAGATAGTGCTCCTCTCTCATCTTTCCTTTCCCATAGCACAGACAAGGCCACAAAAACTTCTGGCCTTGAAGGGTCAATAGTCAGCAAATCATGCACTAATTTGCTTAGTTTTGCATAATCACACTTCACCTTTAGAAGCATTGCATACTCATCCATGTACGTTACAATATAAGGATCAATTGATCGAACCTGTAAAGACCATGAATTTTAAATATATTACATCTTATTTTGTGTGTGTGTGTGTGTGTGTGTGTGTGTGTAGTTAAAATTTAAAAATAATTCTAGGATATTATAAGCCAAACTTCCTCTTACCTTTTCAAAATGTATTATGGCCTCATCGTTCTTTCCGATAATGGCTTCAACCTTAACATATTTAACAAGTATAAGTCAAACAGAAAGAAAGATCAAAAATTAATGAACCAGCAATTTTAAGTTTTAACATCAGTGGTCAGTTTCATTCCCCAACAAATTGATCCATACATGATGGAAGGACAGTGTCCAGCATAAAGCATATCCATACCGGAAAAAGTTCACTCCCTATTTTTTGCTTTTCGTAACCAAGAATTCCCACAACCTCAAAACTAGTTATTACTTTCCATTGCAACAGGTGAGGCAACACATAATTATCTGCATATCTTACTAGTTTAAATTCATAAAAGTCTAACTATATCTAACCTTTGCAATTTCAAGTAATAAGTGTGTATTATTAGGAAAACGTTGTAAAAGCTCAACAAAGAGTTCCAAACCACCTGCCAACCACAGGCAAAGAATAAAGATAAGTGTATAATAATGAGTACCGACTAAAGTAGATTGTGCAAGAAAAATATGAGGACTAATATATTCCACATGAAAACTATATCTATGTATGAGAAAAGCTTGTATAGAAGAAAACAATTATGAAACTACAATGGACATTACAGTTACTACATGAAATTAGTTGTTCCATATAAGATGAATTTGGCAAGTATTTGTGAGTAATATTAACTCATTCAGAGGTTAAGTAATCAACAGAAAAATTGCAATTTTTATATGCAGTGGCCTGTGTCCTTTTAGTTTCACTTTTTTCAGCTGACTAGTACATGTAATACAAATCCCTTGAAAAATCTAGACACGGATTTTGTCATACAACAACACTTGACACATAAGACGAACTACCACCATGAGAGCCAAAAAAAAAATCAATTATACATGTAAATGTCATGAAATGGATTGTGCAAATTTATAACATGTATGCAAGAAAAGATAATACGTTAGACTACCATGCAATATTGACTATGTTGCAGTCTGTTGAAGAACAACTATACCAGCTATCCTCTTTGGCACATACAAAACCTATTTGGCACATAGGAATCCAGGATGGAATAATTCATTCCATCTATACCAGCTATCCTTTTTTTATTGGTTTTAAAGGGTAATATGTTGCACAACTCAAGGTAAAAACAATTTAGAAGGGAAGCATTGCCCACAAATGACACACTTATCCATAGCAATGTATGCACAAATACAAAAAGACAATCCAAACAAGAATACAGATATGCTACCTTTGTAGTCATTAGATGCAATGCAACACTGGGCTTCAACATAACGCTGCACAGAAATTACAAATTATTTACTGTTTATAGTAAAACTAGCAATCTGAGCACAAATCATGAAATATAAACAACAAAAAAACTTTGTAGAGAAATCATTTCAACTTCCAACTTCGTTCATTATCCATTCTGCCGAAACTACAACACATGCTTCAAACTGATTTTCAAGATTAGGAAAATATTTGTCCTTGTGATATAGATTATCTGTGATGTGAGCCAAAACCCTATATTTTGTTTGATGATCACTAAGCATATAAAAGAAAAAAACCATAAAGCTAATAAGCAGCTTAAAAATGGGACAACACATTAACTATTTCCTCATGTACTTACTTGCAGCCAACGGCTTGAGTCAATGTGATCAAATGGGGGTTTCGCACTTCTATTTGGAGTCTGAATAAAGGAAAAGAATGTCAAAAAAGTCAATACATAAACAAGTTAAATTAGATGCAAACTATAATCGTGCAACTTTATAACCTAAATTAGAAGGTTTAAGCTATTCCTTCTATGATTCTACCAATCTTCTTTTCCCCCTCAATCAAATAGATGCTAAGCCAATATCAAACTTACTTCCCAATTGACTCAAGCTGTGTTCATTGGGAAGAAAATTACACCATTCAGTCAATTAAATCATCCTATTCAATGGATGCTACTACAATTGATGGTTGTATGACTATATCTATGATGTAACAAGTGTTATACATAATTTATTAAAGTAACTATATCAAAGGATATTTTGTTCTTTTTTTCAAAGACAGATTCAGCAACACCAAAACATCTTATCTGGACTCAAAAAGGCATAGGAACGAACATTCATATAAAGACTATGTCAATGCATATCAATTGGGAAACATGTTATATTTCTTAATTGTCTATATGAAAATGTTTGAAACTTTCATCAGCAAACCTGAGCAAACAATGAAATAATATCCTTTGCAGTAGCTCCTAATTCCGCCAAAGCAGTGATTGCCTCAAGGACATAAGGAGAATGCCTACCAAAAGGAAAACAAAAAAACATACTTTCAGAAAGTAATAGAGTAATATTTTCACACTTTAACACAGTTATGTAGTAAGTATGCCATGAGAAGTAAAAATCTGTATCTAACGAAGATACTAATAGTAAACACTAATGCAAGAAAGACAAGAAGAAATAAATGCAGCAACTATTATAATATTCAAGAGAAAAAGAAAAGGGCCTTTGGGGAAGGGGGAGTGGGCCTAACAATATATCAAAAAGCCAGTAGGGTCATGAACCATGGAACTAAAAATTACAAAGAATTCTATGATCCAACACAATGAAATTTAAAATTTTCCAAAAGATCCTCCATATCTATTAATCTACAGAACCATAGAAAGACTAAGGCATAGAATGAAGAGCAGGGAAACCTTAAACACTCTTTATAACAAGTCACAGCGCCACGGTTATGTCTAGAATTCCGATAAAGCTTTGCCATTAATAGACTCATCTGCAAATTTCTTGCTTTGCTAGGGATTCCCTCCATCTGAAAAACAAAAGTAACGGATATGCAACTGATTAAATAAAAAGGGAAAATGAAAGAAACTTTGATCGGAAACTAACACCATACACTTAAATCAAAATAACAGTGTTCATTCACATAAATGAGGCCTGCAAATGTGCAAAAAAAGCAATACAGATTGCAAATTGTGTAGAATGCATAAATATACCTCCAAGAAAAAATTTGAAAAACATTATAGAAATATAATGTAAATGAAAAGTGATGAAGCAAAACCTCAACAAGGGCCGCTTTAGTCTCACTTAGAGCAAAATGACAAGATGCAATCTTGTACTTCACCTGTAACAGAGACAGAAATAGCTAACTTAAGAGATAATCATTATTGCAAATTAAACAATAAAGGAGAAAGATTTAAGTAAGGGGAGAACATAAATCTACCTCATTTTCATTAATTGCTGAAATGCTAAAAGAGTTTGGAGAAGGAGATCTGTTTGATGAGGACAAAGAACTTCTAGAACTTGTTGAGTTTTGTTTGGGAACAATCTTGTAATATTGCAAGGCTTGCTTGTATATATGCTGTCATCAAACAGGAATACACACAGTGAAACCAAAAAATTCCAAATTCCGCATTGGTTAGATATAGACCACTGGAAAATCATGCACTAGTATGTGAATATATCTACAAGGAAACAAAATCAACTTTCCAACATTATAAAACTGTATAAGGTAATTAACCAACATATTACTGAGAATTTATGCACATCATGATGATGCATACAAGATATCATCTCAAATGACACTAAAGTGATGAATTATTTGACTCAGGTACATGAAATAATCGTAATTGTAATGGAAACTGGTAAATTTTAATTTCAGCTCCTAACTCAAACAAATGGCGCGACTACTTAGTATGCATATAATATAGATGCTCGTACAATTGCTCTGCGAAACTCTCTAGCGCGAAACAGCGCATCACCGAGAAGAATCTGTAAAAAAATATATAAAAAAAAATTAATAATAAAACCGTAATAAACAATGCTGAGCGATTATTTCAACAAGAAAAAAAAAAATTTGACTGACTAGATTTTCCGCCTTGAGTTGTGGACTGGTTTCGCCATTAACAGCCGATGATGAAACGAGAAAACAACCCTAACATAAAAATGAATTAAAGACAGACAAAAAGTGAAATTAATTTACGCTACTTTGAAATGAAATTCGAATTAAAAATGAGAGAATAGAAGATTACGAGCATTTGAGCAGAGTCGAATAGGCCATGATCAAGAAGAGTGGTGATTTGGTCCTTAGGCATATCCATTTTGAGATAGCTAAGCTCCAACTGTGGCTTTGTTCAGTGTGAAATTCAAGTTTTTGAATCCACAAATCTGCTCGCTTTTTAATTATCTAACCCCGCTTTCTTTTTAAACCCTTCAGTGCCAATGCGCTGTCGTTTTGGATATTACTAAGCCGGGTTTAGGTGAGAAGCAAAGCTCCATCTGTTTTATGAGCAAAACCACGAATATAATATATTATCTCTGTATTCTTCTAATATAATAAGGTTCCAATAAACTCAAGGGACACTTTTTCTCTCTCTCGCTAAAGAATGGACTCATCTTCTTCCCGAAGATCGGATTACAACAACACAAACAACGAGAAGTTCCACCGCCAGAAGTTCGTATCGAGAATACTTTCGCCAGCAATTCGGGGGCAAAATTGTCCAATATGTTTAAACACCATCTCCGATTGCAGAGCTGCGGTGCTTACAGATTGTACCCACGCCTACTGCTTGCATTGCATCAGCAAATGGAGCAATTTGAAGCGCAACTGCCCTCTCTGCAACGCACCGTTTGATTCCTGGTTCTACAAGATCAACCTCTCAACTCGAAACTTCCTCCAACAGCGATTACCTCCTCTTGGCAAGGGCAAAACTGTCACTTCTCATTCTCACTCCAGCTCAAGAGGTCCACCACAAAGGTCGGCTTAGCTTATACAATTATTATTATTTTTTTCATATTTTTACCCAAACAAAAGATTGTGTTATTGAGTTGTATTTCAAATTTTGTTTTTGAAATGAATATAGGATTATGCAAAGATCAAGACATGAATTGATCAGTGGTAGGCAGGAAGCAAGACAATTGCCATGGAGACGATCGTTTGGACGGCCAGGATCGGTGCCTGAGCCCGTCATCGCTGAAAGAAAACTTCAGTGGCGTGCCAGGTAAATTATAATACATAATAATCTACTACTGTGAAAATTGTCAATGTTATATATATCGGTGAGTTAAATCAATTTACTGCGATGAACACGTGAAACTGAAATTAGATGTTGGTTTTTTGCAGCGTTTATAACCAACGCTTGCAAGCTGTTCCTTTATCTTCTAGGAATTGCGTTCACCAGGTTTGTTATTGATTCAATTGAATTAATTTTGTCTTGCAAATTGCTGTTTCTATTTTTCTTCAAGAGACTCCAGGTATCAGGCTTTTCTTTAAGCTGCATTTCAATTTAGCAGAAACTTGCAGAGTTTGGTTTAATGGTTTTTTATTTTTGAATATTCAGAATGTTGCAGTGAATAAATTTGTGAAAGAAAGAATACTGCAGAGAATAGAACCGTGGATCCAAAGGGAGCTCCATGCTATCCTTGGGGACCTAGATCCATCCGTTATTGTTCATGTGGCCTCCTCACTTTTTATTGCAAGTCTAGAAGGAAAGTTTAATCATCCTTCAAGACTGCTTGGTGTTAAACGCGACTTTTTAGCACCCTTGCAACCTTTCTTGCATGATGAGACCGCCATGTTCTGGCATGAATTGAGGTACATAAATTATTTGATAAAACCTTCTCGGAAACTTATTGACATGGCATCTAGTTGTGGAATATACATATTTTTATTTGTTGTTCATCATGTTTCATGATCAATATGGATTGAGAAGTATTTTTCAGATGTTTTGCAGAGAGTTCATTTACAATGGAAACGTATGATTCAGTGGTTGAATATAAAGAGTTGGCTTAAGTGCTGCGAAATAATGTTTCATCCCCTGATTTGTTGGCTGCACAAGGTATCAGTTCATTCACTAAGTTCTTTATACTTCTTTCTGGCTTTTTCACTTACATTTCCTTTTCTTATGTCGGTTGAGGATTTGTAGTGATCTTCCTAACTGCAAGATATATCTTGTGATATTTTGCAGCCTATTGATTGAGGATGAGCCAAGTCTTATGAAGCAAAGATGTCACCCCAGATCAAAACTCAGAGTTGCAACCTGGAGCAAAGTGCTCAACATAATGGCTGTGTCAATGGGTAGTGGGGGCATATCTCATCATTGAGTATAGAGGAGGTGTTGCTTTGGCAAAAGAAAATGCAAAATTGGATTGAGTTGAGAGCAGAAGCTGGATCAAATTATGATTTAAAAACAGAGTTTGGAATCTCACAAATCACTGTCTTTCTCAATTCAATCAGGGGCATAGATGCATGTATTAAGATGTATAGAAACTGAAGATTGTGTTAACGAATTGCATTGACAAAATCATCAAATTTGTATGTTCTTACCGTTGCCTTAAACCATCAATAATAGCTCGAGGGTTTGTATGATATTGACAATATGAGTACGTACTCAAGATTAATGAAATTGAGATTTATCAAGTCACAACTGACAAGTTCTCCAGATTCAGTCACCTGTACAAATTGTTATATTTACTTAAATTATATCAATATAACTCAAAATATATTCGCCTCTTTTTTTTTTTTTCATATTGTGTTCTGTAGGACTATCATCTTCAGATAATTCAGCATTAGTGCCACACTTGATGGATTACCTGTTAACGCAAAATATACAAATTTTTATTAAAAATTCACATACCAATTGACACAGCATAATCGAAGTGTTACCTTGGCATTCATATCAAGCAATATGGAAGTGATTGTCTCGTCAACTGTAAGCTCAACTCAGCCTTGACATATTTGAAACCACCTTTTACCGAATGAAGTTCATCTTTCACCATTGCACTGACCTCGTCCTTAAAGCTTTGTATCTCCCTCCGTAATTCCTATATTTGAATGTTTTAGTAGTAGATTTGATGTTACAGAAATAAATAATTGAATTGGAGATGCACTGAAAATATAAACTTACGTCGTTAAATACAACTGTTGGAGCCTTCTCATTTGTACGAGTAGTGAAAGCAAAACTGTCATTTTTAGGATCAGCATCCATAGCTGTCTTGCTACCAGTATTTCCTCTGTAATATTTTTGTTGCTGCTCATCCTCAGGCGTCAGAAATTGTTAATAAGCACTTGTGTGAAAATCGACAGATCTATAGAAGACTGAAAATAGACTATAAGGAAATTTTTTACCTGCGGGCATCTCATTGCTGCAATGTCCTTTTTGAGGGCAACCATCGTGTTGGTAATGGCTCCAAGTTCATCTGTTGCAGCATGCACATTCTCCCTCACAGGATTGACCTTGGCCCTACGCTCCTTCCCTACAGCATTGACTTCAGTCCTAAACTCCTCCCCTACAGCATTGACCTCGGCCCTTAACTCCCGCCTGACATTGTCAATTTGCATCTTCAACTGAGAAATAAAATCGTCACAAGCCGCAATGAACTCAGCCCTAAACTCCTGCCTGGCATTGTCAATTTGCACCTTCAACTGAGCCCTAAAATTCTGACAGCCATCATTGAAGTCAGCCTTTACAGGTACCTTCAAGTTGATATTGCAAGTTAGAAATTTTAGCTTTGAGATAAAGGACTTCAGAGACATATTAAAGGACAGGAGTCTAGGGAGGCACCTGCTTTGATGGAACATGGGAAGAAGAGTATGCAGCAGTTTTGACATCAGCAAATGCAGTCCAATCATCAGAAGATTCTGGAGGCACCACATCATGGAGATCATCGGTGTCGTCTTCATATGTACCAGTTAAGATCTTGTCTATACCATATGATTCTTTACGCTTTTTCTCATACAGCAGAGGAGTTGGAACACAACTAACTTTCAATCAAAATCAATGACAGAAAGTATTCAGAGATATGGGGTAACGAAAAAAAGAGATGAGCATTCAACTCACCATATTTTTTTTCTAAATACATTCCTCTGAAGTTCCTAATAAGAGAGTGTAGTCAGCGTTCTTGATTCAAATTATGATGATATCGATTCCCTTCCTTGATACACACCTTGATGAATGTTAACCAATTTCCCAAAACATGTAGCCCCGAGAAGCTCCATTTGTGGTGGTGTCAGTTTTTGTCTAATCATCTCAAGTACTCCTCTATGAGAAAGGCTTTTAATGCTTGATTGGTAATAATTATCTTCAGCTTCTTCTTAATATTTGGTTTCTTCACATCCATGTTATTATTAACCACCTGCAGAGCCAAGGAATAGTCCTAGAAACATAAATTAAGATAACCCAGAAAAGGTAACACAAGTAGCAGTAAATGAGTGTAGATAAGTGATGATATATTTGAAAAGATGGTGATGTTAGAAACTGTTTGTATATATTAATAGAAGTATAGAAGTATAGAACCCATTGGCGGTCCTCAAAGTTTCTGTTGATACACTTTATAAACAATAAACTATACGGTCATTTTGATAAACAATGTGGAGGCTTCCCACAACAAGCACACATGGACAAGAAAGAAAAATGGCAAGTTTAGCAATGCATGCTCACCTGGGTGCTCTGAGTGAGAATGACAGCTGATTAATTCTGAGAGGTTTACGAGGAAATTGGATTTTGGATAAGAGTGATATAAATATATACAAATGAAGGTTTTTCTTTCTTTTTTTACTTTTTATTTTCTTCAACTGAAAAACGAGCCAATTGTTCAATGCCATTGAGACTGAGACTTTCAGTATTGGCCATTGGGTATTCAACTCAACCAATAAAAAACTTTACATTTCTTTCCTCAATTGAGCCCGTTCCAGGGTTTTAATAACCAACCTGAAATGAAACCCAACAAAATGACCATGTTTCGGGTTGACCGGCGAGTCAAAAAAACACCCTAGAAAATTTATAAGTCCCTATAACTTTAAAATCTTGCAAAAACACTCCAAACATGACCGTCGGCATCGACAAAAAAGGACAAATAGGGTCTGTTTCCGACAACAAAAACACTTCCATCACCACGAAAACACTCCCCTCAACCTCCTGACCAAAAACTCATATCACCCCTCTCTTGATTGCCTCGCCAATCGACAGCAACAACCCACTGTTGCTGCCGATTTTGTTTTGCGATTTCTGATAAATTCACTCACCAGAAATCACTTCCGTCGCCACTGTTGCACCCACCGACCCTTCCTCTTCAAAAGCCCCAACATTCCAAGCCTTTAATTGTTCGCTGATCATCGTCCTAATTTCTAGGGTTTTCGGTGAATAGAAAAATTGCTAACTTGGATTGGTCAAGGCCCTGAGCCTCGGTTCAACTGGCCAGGCCAGGCCGAGTGTTAAAATAATGGCCCCTTCGACAGTATCTGACTGCTCAACATCATCAAGTCGACGAGCCATGATGCCCTAAATCATAATCAAATGCCCTTTTTAGCTTGAGCCAATTCCGATACATATATAATTATAGAGTTGAGTTCCCATGACAAGTTTTTCTTTTTCCCTTCATTCATGCCATTTTCTTTCTGGTTTTTTCTATGAACTATAAATCGCATAAAGATGAGTTCCCATTTTGTTTGAAAATTTGAACTTGAGTGCTGGTTTACATTACAAGAGAGTAGGCGAGATTGAGAGTTGGCATAAATCCGGGGAAAAAAAATGTCGATGATAAAGAAGAAAGCAAAGTAAAAACAAGTATACTAGAGCAAAATATTTGCCAGTTGAAAGAACTGTTGGGCTATGTTGGTAAAGGTATTTTATATTTGTTATACTCCAAAGATCCCTCTCAATGTGGCTACAATTTACTCTTCCCTATTAAGGCAATCTTAACACAAAAATCCCATGTGTTTTATGCCCAAACCACCCGTGCCAATGACAATCAGTAACACCAGCAACAACAATCCGGTAGTCAAACATATAATACCTGTAATACATCCAACAATTCCTATTACCTTCTTCTACATCCAACAATTCCTATTACCTTCTTCTACATCCAACAATTCTTCCTATTACCGTCTTCTAAATCTCAAAAACATACAAATACACACTAAATATTCCTTAGAAGATGCAGCAATAAATCAAGACAATACATCAACCTCAGACACCAGTCTTGTGTTAGTACAAGCTCAGCCTTTAGTTTATACACACAATTTTCATTCTTCTTCTGGTTCTTCGTCCTCTTGGAGAAGATTTTCTCTATTGTCATGTGCCCAAAAACCACGCACGTCTATGAGCATGCTGGCTACTGTCCCACCTTGTTTACAACCTAGCAGATCAGTCAAAGTAATCTTTAATGGGTCCGTTGGTTTGACCATATCCCAGATCTCATCCCTTACATCCTCGATACATAATTCATAGTTTCCACCCTCAATCCATTTCTGGTGCACATCTCTGTTTTACACAATTAAAAATAAATGATTTCAGTAGACAAAATATATACGAGGGCTAAATTTAAAACAAATCATTAAAGCATGAAAACTATGAGAACAGCAGATCTCAATGGATTTCTGAGTTTGTGTCTCTGGAGAAATGAGACTTGCAGAACTTGCTTAAGCCCTACAAGCAGGAAACTCCAGAGTTTTCTGTTGGAAGATTGTATCAGGCAACATCTCAGCTGTTGGATGTTCCCCTTCTTTACTTCCACATATAGCTTGTAATTGCTTTGATGCTCAAGAAATATTAATTATAAAGCTTGCTCTCAGCGACATTATAAAATAAACAGGATTCAATCACAACATTGAATAAGAATGCTGTGGAGTATTGACCTGAAAAGGGTGTGTATATCAGCTGTTGTAAGGTATCCACGTCCTTGCAGGTCAAGACAGCGAAACAAGTATGTTAGCCCTTCTGGAGTGTCTTTGTTTTCTAGGGCCAGGACAAAGTCAAGAAAACTTTCAAAATCCATCTCCCTAGAATTTCCTCCACTACCTTTGCCACGACGGACATGTTCATCAAATACTGTTGGTAGCACAAGTATAAAGAAGCAAACATTAGAACCTCTCCTTGGTACTATATTGATGACCTCAAAGTAGATTAACATGCACATGAATCAACTACCAAATTTATAGTACACTTTCAAGAAACATAGGAATAGCATTGTTACCCCTTTCAATGAAAATTTCTGTCAGTGTCCCATCTGCATATTCTCGAAGATCCTGCTTGCTCAATGTTCCATTCATATCTTTATCAAGGGCAAGATACATATCTATGGAAAGAATTAGGACCAAGTTAATCACATGAATAATATAGACTCGGTTGTAAGATTGCTCCTTAAGAGCATCATAATATTTTCCATGAGCTTAATAACTTCTAGAAAAGCCAAAACCACAAACAACAGTGTAGTTGCATAATAATTAAGTACTAAACTACCAAACTCCTGATGTACATTGCAAAACTAATAAATAAATGAAAAAAGAACAACTAGAAAAAGGACAACGAAAATGGAAAAACATGTACTCACCACATATACGCTGTGCAGATGTCAAAGAAAACCAATTTTCAGCTTGTTCTGTGTCAGTTACCTCTTCCTCACTTTCCTAATATAAAAGAAGTTAAGAATAAAAGGGGAAAAAAGTCAGATTCTGCAGAGACTGTCAATTGTATTCAACATGTCATTCTCCTCATCAGCCAAAAAAGGCAGAAATCAGACTATGATTTACAGCAATATCACTCGTACTAAGATACAAAGAGTAGAGAACCAATATTGATTAATAATAACAAAGGGACACTGGTAAATAGTCTTCAATATAACAAAGGAATCCTTGCAAACAGATTGTAACGTATTTTAAGAAAAATCACAAACAATTTACCTGGTGGAGTTCCATTAGTTCCTGGAGACAGTTACTGAGCAAAACTTTCTTTATGCAGGCCTTTCCTGAAAGAAAAACTAATTGTCAAAAAATTTTGTAGAACCAAATTCAATAATAAAGATCCAAACAAAAAACAATTTCAAAAACAAAGATACACTAGAATTTTTTTGTCAAAATTTTTTAACAGATTATTGCTATACACCCATATATTTTCTGTTGTAAGTAAAAATTAGATCATGCAAACCTCGTCTATGAGGATCGCAGAAGAAGAAGAACTTGTGTGCTGCTATCCGACAATACATTTGAACAAAGCTTGCAGGCATATCCCGTAGCTGTGCCAGACTAGGAATCAGACCTCGTATATAGGCCTCCATTTCCTGCAAAGAAACAAAAACAATTATAGACTTATAGGTAATCAAATCAGGTAGACATCATAAATCAGAAGAAACAGGTTTATCCCATTTTCAAGGTTTAGAAGTCCAAAAAGTTCATACATGAGGTTGAAGGAAACCATCAGAATCTTCATCAAGCTCACTCATGTCAATTCTAGCCTGTGTAAGTGAAACCTGAAACAAATAAACAGGGAGCAACAGTTATGAACATTGAAGCCTCATTAATCAAAATAACAAACAAATCAAAGACAAAAATCTTCAAACTCTAGGAAAAAGCTAACATTTCCCAGTCATCATACAGGAATGGGGAAGAGGAAATAAGATTCAAAAGTTTAATACTTTGCTTCAACCAGCCATTACAGAAGAGGAACCAAACAGAACCTCATTGAGACAGTCAATGGAATGACTTTGAAAAACTCTTAAGCCAGGCTCCTCCTCAACTTAAGACTGTCATAAACACAAGTCCGCTTTCTTTTGAATGAAAGGAAAAGGGCAAAGACAATCAACCTACATGAGCAAAGGGCAAAGGCATTTTGGACAAAGAAATGATATGATCTAAGTTATACACTCCAGTCAGGTGAATAAAGGGGGAGGTAAAGTAGGGGTGGTCTATAGATTGAGTCTTCCACAAAGGGAAAGAAGGATCTATTATAATGTTTAAAATTTTAAAATCAAATGGACTTATGCTTCACTAGACTTTGTACAGATGTGAGAATGAAAATTGGCATACCATGAACAACAAGCAGAGAGGTGAAACTGAATAAAAAATCTCATAATATCATTTTATGACTAAGGAAACCAATAATGAAGTTGGCACAAATTAGATTCCAAAAAATACCCACCGTACGCATCACATAAAGATAAAATGGCAAAATGGCTATTCTTCCAGACTCATCTTTCTCAAACTTCATAAAATTTGATGGACTGAAAAAGCGTCGACACTTGGGGCCTATTTGCTCAGTACATACAGAGGCAATGTGGCAAAAATCTTCATAGTTCATCTGCAATACTTCAACTCAGAAAGTTTAGCATCACTGTAAGATTAGAATTCATATCCCATCAAGAAAAAGCATTGCAAAGGAAATTTATAAAAAAATAAAGTCATGGACAATGTCTTAACATAGTGAGGAAGCAGATAAAAATGACAATTTACAAACCTTTTCTGCACCAGTGGCATCATCAATCACACAGTTTTCCCTCAAGCAAACCCACATTGCATCCAGATCATCAGCATTTAGCAAAAGATCTGATTGTTTCTGCCAATATATGTGAGAAGATTAACATAGCAAACCACAAGTTGGTTAAGTTCTCAATACTATAACAAGAACGAGTAAACCAAACAGCAAATCCACAAGAAAAGAAGTGTACCTTTAAGAACCGGTACTTCGCCAATCTTTGGACCCTGTGACTGATGGATCCTTCTTCAGGTTTCTGAAACAATAATATAAAGGAAGAGCAAAGAAATATCAGAGCACAATATAAGAGAAGTAGGGAATAAAAAAGTAAAAAAAATACATCAAAACCTAAAATTGATGTAGGTTTCTAAAATTGATTTTTTTGTGAATATGGATTCACATAACAAGTATGTTAATATATCAAATCATTTAAAGTAAAGTACCAAAGCAAACAATTCTTGCACATGCCTTCTTGTAGAAACTGGGTATTGTGCCAGCTTCAGCACTTTTTTGTTGTTTCTCTCTAAATATATCAAGCAATATTCTCTTTGTCTCAAGCTCTACAAAGGAGGAAACAAAAGAACTGATTTACATTGTGGCCAACAGGGAAAAAAAAAAAAAAAAACATATACACTGATTACACGAAATGCATAGTCCGTCTGCATGTATAAGCGCAAACGAATATCTCAGCAGTAACATTAATAGCAAAAGCGTGTTCTCGCACTTTCTTTGATAAGCTCTTTAACTTTTGTTTCTCTAAATACAACACTCAAATTACTTCAGCAAACCAGTTGTATAAGGCTCAGTCAAATCACAAATTTCATTTCCTCATCCACAAAATAACCAAAATCGCTAATCCTATGCTCCTCTTTTTCCCCCCACAATCTCAGCAATTAAACACTAATGGCTGATTAAGCACATGAATCCAAAAACAGTTCCCAATCCACCGAATAAATTTCTAACTTAATTCACTTTGATAGCAATAAATTCAAAAAAAAACAAAACAAACAAACAAAAAAATTAATCAACTAATTATATTTTTGTCACAATACGTAACAGCAATCTATGGTCAAGAACTATCATTCCTATCCGAACATACATTTCCCAACAAATAATCGAATTATAAAAAATTAATGAACAAAATACGAATTAAAAAGCAAATTAAAATAGGGACAGAGAGTGACCCATTAGTGCTTCGGATCCGAGTCCAGTTCCGGATCCAATGTACCGGCGCAGATTACGGACCCAAGGCATGGACGAAGCAGGCGGGATCTTCCTCTGCGCAGTCTCGTGGCTCTCGCCATCGCTGGACCCACTGTACATCGCCGGTCCGAATCACTGATCTGAGTCGTCAGTAAACTCGAACGAGTTCGACGTTTTCACACAGTTAAAATAAAAATAATTTGGGAAATTAAATTAAACCCTAGATATAGTTGGGCACAACAGAGCGAAAAAAAAATTCGAAATTATATTTGATCTGTTCTTCGTTATAATTTTCTATTTCTGAATAAGGTTTTGGTAAAGTACACATGGCTCCCTATGATAGTTCTGAACCCTAAAAGATCACCTTATTTTATAAGAATTATTTACTAGCTCTTATGTTTCATATTTTACTAAAGACCCCCTCAGTTATTACAAATTACAAAATCATTAAATTATAACTTATATTAATTACTGGGAATGTTGGATTACTGGAATTTTATATTACCCTGAAGATTACTGGAAATCTTTAGGAAAATGTGTTTGGTTAGTTGCTGGGTATGTTATATTAATATTTTGCCCCGGCCAAATCTGGCCATTTTTAGCCATCAATATGGCTAGAAACGACCATAGCGAAGCCTCTCGAAGCCTCCCACCAAATCTTGGTCTTTTTTAGAGACTTCGGCGACAGTTCGTTGTGGTTGGCCCGTTGTCGATGATGGTGGCTGGATGGCAATGGTGGTTTGTAATTTGTTTTAAATATAAGGGCATTATTGTTCAAAATTTTAATTAAACAAGGGTAAAATTGATATGAAATATAAATGTAAATTTATTTTAAAATAGAGGCATTATTGTCCAAAAATTTTATTAATAAGGACCCGTTTGGATCGGGTTGAATTTTTTTAACAAGGGTAATATTTGTTTAATTGAGCATATTACCGTGTTTGACATTTTTGTACAAAAACATTACCGAAAAATAAGATGACAAACAGTGCCAAAAAGGGGGTAAATCACGGGGAATAATATTACCTGGGGGGAGGGTGGTATTAAAATATTACTTCGGTAATGAAAATTTCTGTCCAATTTTGCCTCAAAACAGTGGACAATGTGGACGAAAATATCCTTGGCTTTGTTAATAATTACAAAACACCCAATTTAAAAAATGACAAAACACCCCCACCACCACAGTGCCAGATTCTGGCCACCACCGCCGAAATCTGGTCGGAATCCGCTGTTACGACTCAGACTGGTCGAATCTAACTGGTGGAGTGTCGATCTGGCATTTTCCAGCCAAATCCACCATGGATCTAGCCGGAAAAGATCTGGCCGTCAGAGAGGCCAAAGAGTTGGTTATCGTTGATCGTCAACGACAGCCAAGAGTTGGCCGTCATTGACCGTCAACAACAGCCATTTCTTTGGCCGTCAGCAGTGAATAAATGGTCATTGTAATAGCCGCTTTCTACTCAAATATTCATAAAACATGTACATAATAAAATACATATAAAATAGCATAAAAAGGTTGGGCCCAAATTTTTTCTTTTATTAAACATATACATTCTTTTACAAAAAGTTGTATCATGTACAAAGGATCAAAACAAGGTGGACAGTGTAGCCATTTCCCTTCGCTTGCCGACGCCCATCCGACTGTGTCCTCACCTAGATCATGCAAAAACATGGAAAACAACGGGGTGAGCATAACTAATGCTCAGTAAGCAAATCCTCTACTCATCTATCCCCGTAGTTCTCTCTTTCTAATTCTTTCCTTATAATTCTCATTTACTCTCTCTCTCTTATACTTCTCTCTATTTTCTCTTTCTCATAACTCTTTTCTACTAACTCTCTTTAATAGTCACGACCTCATCTTACCGGAGGCACGGCTGGGACTCGCTCCCTCTCTACGTGACTTCTCTTCATTCTAGCAGATCAGACTCGGTTATGCATGGATTCGGAACCCTTGGCCATGTGAGTGTGTAAACTCTCGCTCTCGGGTACTCTCAGGTATAGCCCTCATCCGCATGCACTCTCACGGGCTACACCACTTCTCTCTCTTATACTCATGCCGCTCTCTCAATGCGGCGTACATGCGGGAATACTCTACCCATTACTCACGAGTTCCCCATCGCACAACCTAGTCTCTTCTCTTTTCTCTCTTTTATTCTCTAGTGCTCAATCTCTCTTTCTCTTTACTATTAGAGTTAGCTTATTCTCAACATTCTCTACTCTTTCTCCAATTAGTATTCATAATGTAACTTATACTCAAAAGTCTCTACTCTATCTCAAGCTATTACCCAAAACACAAGTAAATGCACATGGGTGGTCCATGCTTATTAATGCAATTAGGAGATGCCAAGATGTCATGTTGCAAGAATTAAGGTTGACTAATCACACTAATATTTCTCTTAGATATTTCATCAAACAACTCATGTGCATATGAAAACTCTACTCTAATTACTACTATACTTCATTCTCTAGCCATCCAAAATGGGAGAAAACTCCCTCATATAACCATGTCAAAGAAAACACTTCCAAATAGGTTTACACAATATCTCCCAAAACTTCATCTAAATCTCCACTTCTCCATACACACAAAACACTTCTCATATATGAAGTGTATCCAACAACCACAAAATATCTACTTATCTCAACTAAATTTCTCATCAAACATACTACATACTTATACATGCATACATCTCTACTCAAAAGCTTATTCAAATCTCAACTTGGTTGAATTTACTTACTTTGTGAAAAAGTGACTTCTCTACCACTTTTCCTTCCCCTTGTTGTCTTGTCTTCTCTCTTCAACTTAAAACAACAACAAGAACAATAATAACAATATAAGACCATAAGCAAAACTCACATCTAAAGCAAGAATTCTTACCTTAGGATGCTTGAGATGAAATTCTACTAAAATTACCCAAAAGCTCTCTTAAACTCCTTAGAAATCTTGGGAAAATTGAGAGAACTTAGAGAATGGGTATGGCGGTGGAACTGAATGAAAATGAATGGTTTATGTCACTTAACCCTTTTTAGCTCATATTATAACCTTCATTTCCCATTTTGCCTTTGTTCTTTCTTAGAAATTCCATCTATATCCTTTGATTTATTACATTCACACCCCCACACTAACCTATTCTCTATAAAATTTCTTTACATTTTACTCCCCACTGGTAGAATGGTCATTTTGCCCCTATGGAGAATTCTCTAGAAACCTCAAGAAAACTTTTCTGTCGTCCCGTCGCTGCGGCGAAGCAATTCCGTCGCCCCTGCGAAAACTAACAAAACCGACATCGCAATTACAAAGTCAACATCACCGCGGCGAAGACTGTATTTCCAAGATCCCTTAAGTCTCAACCAGTTTCAAGGCAAACACTCAACCAACTCAAAATACAACTCAGTTGAAGCTGACTCAATGAACATTTAAGCAATACAACAAATCTTAAATACTTACCTCAAGTGGGGCGTTACAGCCATTTCTGGTCGTTTTTAGGCCGTTGTGACAGATTCTGGTCACCATTGACGGTGGTTGCCAGAATCTAGTAACTATGGGTGGGTGAGGTTGTTTTTGTTAATTTTTAAACTTTTTTCTAGGGGTGTTTAATTAAGTTAATAAACTTAAGGGGTCTAAAAGTAATTAAAAAGCTAGAATAGTATTTCCCAAATAATTAAACAAATAAGTATTTTGGGAATAGGATAGAGAATAGGGTTTGAAATAATAAAACAAACAAGCCCTTAATTATTTATATCTAGTAATCATCTAAAGGGCATTCTAGTAAAAGGGTATTTCAGGACATATGTTATTACTATCAACCAAACACATTAATTATTAATACATCCAAATTGAACCAAGTACAATAATAATTTAAATCCAGTAATCTACAATATAAGGGGCGTTTGGTTAGGGGTTATATGGGATTACTAGGGTAATGTCATCTTATATTACTTGATTACCATGTTTGGTTGTCAAGTAATAGAAGATACCGATAATCTTCAAATACCAATAGTGGTTACTATTGGTAATATTGGAGGTAATCTGATTACCTCCACCTTCTTAGGTATTATGAGATTACCAGGGTTATCTTTTTTAGTTACAGTTTTATCCCTTATTAATAAAAAATTTGGACAATAATACCCCTACTTTGAAACAAATTTACATTAATATCATATTTCAATTTTACCCTTGATCAATTAAAATTTTGGACAATAATGCCCTATTTTAAAATAATTTACAGACCATCACTGCCACCCAGCCACCACCGTCTATAGTGGGCCAACCACCACTGCCGACAACGGGCCAACCACCATCGGCTGCCGCCGGAAAATCACCGGAGTCCCTAAAAAAGAACGAGACTCGGTGGGAGACTCTGGGAGGCTTCGATATGGCCGTTTTGGGCCATATTGATGGCCGAAAACGGCCATATCAGGCTAGATCTGGCCGGAATAGATTTGGCTGCTAACGGCTAGGTCCATGGCTGTTAACGGCCAGATCTCATCCAAATCTAGCCTGATATGTCTGTTTTTGGCCATCAATATGGTCGAAAACGGCCATAGAGAAGCCTCTTGGTCACGGTCAGCTGTTGATGGGGACTTTCGGAGACTTCCACCGGTGGTCTGCGGTGGCGGTAGGTGGTGGGGGTGATTTCATAATAAATTAAAGTTTTATATAAGCGGGGGTGTTTTAACTAAATCTAAAATATTGGGGGTTAAATGAAATTATTCAAAAATTAATAATAAAAAAATATTATATTAATATTTGAAAAGGAGATAATTTGGTAATTTAAATAACATACCCACCGATTTATTCCCCATAACCAAACATATTAATATAACATACCCACAAACTAACCAAACACATTTTTCTAAAGATTCTCAGTAATCTTCCAAGGTAATCTATATTTCCAGTAATCCAATATTCCCAGTAATCTAACACTCCTGAACCAAACGCCCCAGTAATCTTTCTTTCCGGTAATCTTATTACTAAAATAAAAAAATATTCTATGATCCAAACGCCCCCTAAGGGATAAAATTGTAACAAACATAAGATTACCTTGGTAATCTTACAATTCCTAAGAAAATTGAGGTAATCAGATTACCTCCAATATTACCAACAGTAACAACTATTGGTATTTGGTAATACAAGATTACCGGAATCTTATATTACTTGATAACTAAATATGGTAATCAAATAATATAAGATGATATAACCTCAGTAATCTTTCATCACCTCCAACCAAACGCCCCATAAGGTTCTGCATGATTAGATTGGATTGGATTAGGCTTTGAAATTAAAAC